AGTAATTAGAGACTTTCTGTATCCAGCTGACATTTAAATAGCACTTATATGGTATTTACCGAGCAAATTATACCAGTTTATTCGCATGCAGTTGCGCTCGATTACAGGTTATTATTATTAATGCTACACCTCGATGTTCTTTTCTCTGTAACTTTAATTCAACTATTCTGTATTCATTCGCGTGCCATTTCTATCTCGGTTTTTCTTCGATGACCCTTTGTCTGATAAAAATCCGTCGTAACATACTGTGAATCGTAATTAGTGAATTATATAACGCGGCTGTTGCCACACGGTTGTTCTGATAAGCTTCGACTTCTCAGCACATATTATCGAATCTCTGATATTCTTGTAGAAAAACAAAAAAAAAAAAAAAAAAAAAAGAAAAAGAATAGCCTCACGTGCCAGAAAGTGATTAACTCGTTGAAATTGAGAAGCCTCGTTATCTCAGTGGACGCAAATGTTTCAGAACCATGGAGTAAGTGAAAAAGGAGATGAGGAAATGATCCGAGACTCTGTTGTTTTCTATGTGACATTATCAACCTTCCTAATAATACCTTTTTGTCTTCTTTAATAATAGGAAGTAGGTTCAGGGTATTAATAAAGAGTTAATGATCGAAACGTAACTTCCTTGTTGAAAGAAAGTGAAACCCTTGGCACAACGTTAATATTAAATACCAAACCATCAACTTGCCTATCCAAGGAAGCGAACGTTGTATTATTTTCTTCTATTAATTATTCGACGATAGAAAATTTCTGCCGTTCCGTCCCTGACCAGCATGACGATCAATGTGCCAACACAGTAGGAAAAGAGAAACGTTCATTTTCTTACGAGAAAACGACAAGTTTCTCCGTGCAAAGAAACGCAACAAGATATCGGAAGAAATTCCAAGAAAGTAGCCGTTAAAAGCGGCGATGGACTGCGACGCGGAACGAGGAAGCGAAATTCCCGAATCGACGAAAGAAATTTAGTGAAACGACGGATCTGTTTAAACGAATTCCCCCTATGGAGAGTCGAAGGCGATATTGAAATCCTACGGGAATTTAATAATAACGAGCTGCGAGTAAAATTACGAGCTCGGCACATTCGCTTCGATTAATAGAGGGTTTAGCTAGCTAACTCTGGACGAGCAATAAGAGCCATATGGTCGTGAACGGGGTGGAATGAGAATAGCTGCGTGTCTCTTCTTCCGCCATGCTTCTTATTCTTCTTCTTCTTTTTTTTTATGAGAAGGAGTCTGCGTTCTCGAAGAACGTTATTCATAAAAGAAGGAACAAAACCATGGGAGACCGTGGTCTTGTATAGGAGAAAGGGTTGAAGGGTGAAGGGTGAAGAGGTCGGACAGAAAAGGAGATTATTATGTAGATGGAAGAAATGAGACAGAAACATGAGGGATGAAAGGGTGAAGGAAGGACACAAAATTTGGACTCGTAGAAACATAAAAAATTGAAGAGTAAGAAACTAGGGCGCAAGGGAGTTGAACGAAGGAAAGAAGACGAAGAAGCATAAGAAATGAAGAAAATTTTTTTAGGAACGCGCGAAGAGAATGAAGGGTGCAAAGAGGAGGTTAAGAGAATAAATTGGTGAGAGGGGAAGAAAATGAGAGTGGACGAAGTGAAAAAAAGAAATTCGTCGGAGCCGCTTTTACCGTCCAGAAATATATTTGGCTCGGATTCTTCTTCCGTTCGCAACGCGCGCCCGCTGCCGGAAAACTCAAACCGTTTACCCTCGTGGAATAATTAAATCGTGGAACGGTAGCCAAAAAACCCTCGAGATACGCTTGCGATCCATTATCGGTCCGCTCGCGATCAATATTCGATTTTAAATCACTGTCACATATTTGACCGCCGATCTTCTGCTTCCTAGATCCATCCGTAAACTTGTAGTTAGGGTATTCCTCTAAATATATCGTTCTCTAGGGATAAGAGGTGACGCAATCTAGCTAGAAGTATAAATTCTTTACGAAATATGATGTAATCTCGAAACTGAACATTTCCGCGGCAGTAAGGCGCGATGAAACTTTTCGAAATAATCGCGAAGTAATGTATATCGTAACGGAGCGAACATCGACTCGATAAAAATAAATTATGCTCTACTCGACCTCGTTTTTTCGAGTTACAAACCACTTTCCGACGATTAGACGATTCTCCTTTACGGTAACCTGTTCGCGACCTTGCTGTTTTATGGTATTCTATTTGATAAGAGCTTTTAAATTTCAGTGGAATAATTTGAAATTTAGTTGCTCAATTTGAAAAGCATTTGAGATAATTAAAGACGAGCGGGGATTGCTTTTAAAAACAGATAGAGGAGACATCGCGGATGTAGCGAGGTTCGTTCATTTGCAGTTTGTACGTAAGGTACATACGTGAGCCGATCGTGTCGCATAACTCGGTCACGTTTGCGGTTTGCATCGTTAGAATACGATACGACCCACTAAAAATAGCGGTCGAGCCAATATCGATACTCTGTAAACGGTGTCAATCCCATGATCGGGACGACCAGTCGCACGTAACATCAGGTTTCCGTGTATACGCAACATTCCTTCCACTTCGTCTCTTCTCTTTTACTTGTTACGTTTTACAATTTTCTAACTACACCGTCGGAATAAAAATCAAGCAAGCAATGGAACACTTTTCACGAACCTTTAATTTGCTTATCATCCGACGATGAAAGTGGAACGACGTGCTTGGAAGAATATAGATCTTGCGAGTCGAAGCGTGACCACCACGAGGGAAATTAGTTCAGTTTCACAATTCGAGACTATGGAGGGTGTTGTTATAAATAGTTTCTTAATGAAACGCCTATTTTAAAAAAAAAAAAAAAAAGGAAAAAAGTAGATTTGAAGGCTGAGCTTGTATTTTCCGTCTAAACAAGGACGACCATCGATTTTAATATAGAACCACCATATTCTCGTTTAACTTGTTAAGTATTCTAATTAAATTGAATGATAATGTGTCTACTTTACTTTCGTTTTGTCGTACGATTATTCTTGCCTAGAATGAAAGTTTTGTTCGTCGCGACAAAGGAAGGAAATAGGCGCGATAAAAGTGATTATCGACAAGAAGACGAGGTCCAAGCAAAGTTCTTTAAACACTTTCCGATAAATTGAGTGGGAGTCGGCGAGTGTTCGACGTCTTTCAGATTTCCAACGACGTGAAAAGTCGTGGGCGGTTTAGAAGCCTAAAAGTTTCCTGCATTTTTGCTCGCTTAAATAGCTTGTCAAAAGTTGATCATAATAAAACTTGACAAGAGGAATTGATAAAGAAAACATTGGATTCTTAAAAATGGAGCAAAGAAACGTTGTTCTTAGCAAATTGATCATCGACACCGAAACTTTATTTATCTACGGTCAAATATATTTCTGTACAGGAATTTTCTCGTACGCGAAATCGAACGAAACGTAAATTCGTGAATCGACCTGCCGAGTCTCGGTTCGCGATATTCTCAGCATACAATCCTTCTTTCTATCTGTCCAGGTCTAAAATTGTAACTTGGCGAACGACCTCGTCGGCCATCGTTCGCGAACATTGATCGGGCTAAGTCAATCAAATTGAAATAATTCAGGTGTAATTATTTTTACTCATCTTTTTCTAAAGAAATCACGGTCACTTACAGTAGCGAACGGGTTAATAATTAAAGGTTCAAATTGAATTTTCATCAATTCGTTATAAAAGTTTGGCAAGAATAACGGTAGGAATCTTACGGTCCTCTTGATTGAGACAACAGGCTTTGTCTCTTCCTTATTATTATAATTTGACCGTGCCTAATCGGCCACGTGGGAGTGAGAGGCGACAAAATGAGATGTCGCGTTCAATTTATGGTCTCGAAGAGAAAGAGAGACGCGTCGAGTCGCGAATTATATCTCATTATTAGCGACGAAGATATAGCCTGACCCAGTGACACGAAGAAGAAAAGGGTAGAGCTCGAGGGAGAAACAAAAAACGATAGACGACGGTGTATCGAACAGGGTGGTGTCCTCCCTTCCTTTTCCTTCTCTTGCTTGTAAAAGAAAATGCGACTTCCATTTACAGAGAATAAAATAGAGTAACCCGGTTTGTCGAATACAAAACAGCCAAAGCCATCAGAGAAAAGTGGAAGAAATTCTTATCTGGCGCTGGTTTACGTAAAAGCATGGATATTAAAATAGCCTGGCAACGTGTAGTATTTAGTCAGTCGGGTATTTCGTCGAAGTCACCGACACCCAAGAATATAAGAGATACTTTGAGAATAATCATCAGAGAGTTGCGAAACGCACGGTTTCTGGCCAGAGACAAAGAAAGCTCCGCTTTCGGAATACAAATTTTTCTCGCTTCGAAAGGGGATGGGTGAGCAAGATTTCGAAGGGGTTAAGAGGGGAAGGAAAAACGTGAGGAACGTGAAATGTACACGGCTTGGAACGATTCGAGGCAGCAGCGAAGCCGTGAACGCACGTCTGGTCACGGATCGTACGCACGCATTTGCATACGCGTAGCAATGCAGGGTGAAAGTACCGATAGAGTGTCGCCTTTTAGCTTGGACAAAGCCTGCTGTGCTAGTTGTTCTCTAGTAGAAGAGGTCGGCTTCCGACATTAATCTTTCGATTAATTCGTATCATTCATCTCCCATCGTTGACGCCGAAATGTTTGTCAGATTCCCAAATGTGTGTAGTTAACACGATTGCTACTCCTCTCGAGCCTGGCGAACGCGTTAAATAGAAAAAGTACCATCCCTCCTTAACGCATCGTCTTATCATTGAAGATCAGTCGTTCAAATAATAGACGCTTACATAACTAACACAAATAACATTTGTATTTTAAGTACAGGCGATGGTCACTTAGGCTACAAATGTTATCGTAGATCATTTCTAATTACGTAGACGGTGCATACAAAAGATAAGATTTATAGTAGTTGATCCGTTGTATCTAACCAGCACGCTGCCCACCTCCGAGCACGTATCACGTCCGAAAATACATCCACATCTACCTCATGGTATAACCGCTAATTTATATTTATCTTTTTTCAGATCAATTTCGATCGTCAGTGGCTCGTGATCTTCGACAATAGAATACCACCTTGGTGACAGTGATCGCATACCTTCTCTATAATTAAACTATATAATGTCAACAGTGAACTCGAGTGCTCGTCCAAGTACATCCGAAGCCATCTGAGAGACAAGACTTGATTCGGTGTTCGTTGCTTCGGTGTCCGCGTAAAAAGACGAAGAATTTCAATAGAATCAGAAGGAAGAGAAAGAAAAAAGATAAGAATGGGGGGTTCGATGAGAGGAACGAGGATCTCGTGGAGCGTGTGTCGACCGTTGTCACGATGGAGATCGAGATTGTTGGGCCAGTGGGCCTGAGATATGCCAGCAGCATCGGTTAGCTCGGTGATCACGGAAACGGCATCGTCCTCATCATCGAGGCTGAGGTCGGAAACGGCGGCGTCGGGCGGTATAGCTGGCCGACAGCTGGCCAGGCTAGAAATCGAGACGATCGAGCGACGGGTCTGTGCGACCCGACGCGATCTCTTCGTTCCTGTGACCGTCGATCCACGTCCAAGTCGAGCCGTCCATTGTCCGGACTTGAACGCCTGTCTGGTGAACGAGTCTCGATCGGGCAACGATCAGGTCGACTGTCAGGCCGTCCACTTCGGTTACGCTATACCCGTGAACGTGGTGCCACTCGAGGGTAATCCTGAACTGGTGGAGCTGGTGTTGGATCACTCGACCGAGTTGAGTAGAAGAACGACGAGCTTTCTGCTCGAACACCATCCCCAGCTACGTCAACAGACGCGCGGACCCGGCCAGACGCAGCAGGAAGATTGGAGAATGGCTGCTACGGCTAAACACGATCTTCGTCGCAAGTTCCCCACGGACACTTCGACCTCTGGCGACGAAGATATCGCTGCGATCGCGAAACAAATCAGCGACCACGCGGAGGCGATCTATCAGACGTGGAAGAGCCGAGGTCTGGCTCCCACGGAGATCTTGAATTGCCACAGCAATGCAACCGCGGCGGATAAGTTCGGCACCGTCCTCACTCCGACCTCCAGCCCGAACAGCACCGGTAAAACTACCCCGACTACGCCTACCTCTACGGCCACCGTCGACATACTGACTCAGCCACCTAGTCTGGACAACGGAAACCTGGAGAAGCTGGTTAATAATTTCGTGGTTGAGGATAAAGCAAGGATAGCCGCGTCCAGGCAGAGGTCGCCGTCCAAGACACTGCCTTCGTCGATACAGTTCGCGCTGCAGAAGTTTGAGAGGAACTCGACGCAGCAGCAGCAGCAGCAGCAGCAGCAGCAGCCACCGCCACAGACATCGCCGTTGAAGAACAGCAACGTGGTGGGTGGTCAAGCCAAAACGAAACAGACTACGTTGCTCTCGCCTACGTCTCCGTTCGCTAATAAACCATCTCAGATAGTGAAGCCTCAGGTGTCTTCGAAGACTCCTGGCGCTCATCATCGAGAAGTCTTCTTGGAGACGATCGAGACCACGTTCCCGGCTGACATAACGCCATCGAAGATCGTGGTGCAACAGAAGAGGCCAACCAGCACCGTCATCACTTCTCCGAATCTCGATGAATCTTCTATGAACTCTGGCTTAACCACGTGGCCACTGAAGAACAAGTTGAACGAAGGCAAGAGGATAACGACGGATCCATCCGCGAGGTCGTCTTCGCAGGATAGTAAACTGTTGATAACGAAGGAGGAGAAGAGGAACAGTGGTTCAAATTCGAACGTCTACCTGGACGAAGTGGCTCGCGAGGAGGAAAGACTGATAAACGCGTTGAAAACTGGATCCGTGATCACGGAAGAGCCTACGGAGAGGACGGTGCCGGCTCTGGCTCGACAGAAACCGGCGATAAAGCGAGAAAAGCCAAAAGTGGAACCCGTTAAACCCATAATCATTGGTCACAATCACCATGGCACCGGTCTGGTACCAGCTTCCGCGACTATGGTGAATAATGTCGTCAGTACTCCACCTGGAAACGGTACACCGATCGTGTCCGACGCGAAATCCCTGAGTAAAGACGATTTGTCTAACATGTCCGTGGTGGATTACGCGAAAGTGAGATACAGGGCGGCTCAACAAAATCCGGCGACGCAACAGAGGCTGGAAGAGCAGAAGACGAACAACGGATCGGCGTTCAATGCCACGGAACAATTGGTGTCCACCACTAGGTCCAAGTTTGAAACAGAGATACGAAAGGATAAAGAGGCTAACAAGGAGGAGAAAGATCCTGTAACGTCCAGATGGGGACCAAGGATCAATTCTCCCAGGCCAAGGATCGAGCAAGTGCCTCATCCTGAGCTAACCACCCAGCAGAAACAGCATATCAGGGCTGCTGCTGCGACAGGAACCGGAAATAATCCTATCAGACCCTTCCTCACTAGAGGTTCGGTCGCCGAACGTGTGCTTATCTTTGAAAAGTGTCCTAGCGAGTTGTTGCTTGACAAACGGGGACCACGACAACCAGCTATCAACACTTGGAGGACTGGGCACGAGGTTCAAAATAAGGCTCAGGTAATACGGTGCTTCGGTGATTTTATTCTTCTATTACAATTGCTTTGATAAATGTTTTGTTTCATTTAATCCTTGCACAAAGGAAATCCGGTGCCTCGATCATGGTACAAAAGTAACATTGAAAACGTCGAAATCTCGTGTAACACGAAACAGAAGCGTTGTTTGCCACGCCGTTTTCCAAGAAGAAGTTTAATTCGGCCGGATGAGATGGTCGAATCGATGAAGCTGCTCCACGATCGGCAAGACGTGCGAGAAGCTCACGTTCTTGCTACTCTTGCAAGCTTATATCGGGCGTTTTGGTCGCCGTCCAAATTCCTCCTCCCTTGGAGGATGTTCGACCGCTCGACTCCTGTACTTTTGTCTCGAAACGAGTTCAAGATCTCTTTCGCTGTAGAGGTCGTTTCTGCATGCCTTGTGCTTTCTCCTCGAACATCGTTCAAACCCCTCCCCGATGTTCTTTCATCCACTTCTTTGTCTTGCTAAGTAATTTGAAAAATATTGAAAATCTTTCCACGTTTCTTAAACGGTAAGGGGTTGAAAAGTTTTACCTTAGGAACCGTCATAGAACTTAGCGCGGTTGCAAACAATTGAAGATCAATTAGAAGGTGAAATGGTTATTACAAAAATTACAATGTTCGTCGTTTAAACAACAGGAAAGTTAAGTTCAGAGCGATTAAGAATGTGACTCTGGATCAGCGCCAACGCGAGAGGTGCTTGCCAAAAAAGGTTTACCTTAATCGAACATAGATTGTTACCATTGTTTCGAATGTCATGATTATAATTGTCACGAGTATTCGTTAGGAAGCATGCGCGATCTTGATCAATGGAGTTTCTTCAGGTAGCTTAGATCGCGTTAATCGTGAGCTATAGACCAATGCGATAAGCCACGATCTTCAAACGTGGTTGCTCAATGTTCGAACAATGCATGTCGCTCGAGGGCTTGGCTGTGGCATTGTTATTAGACGGCTATTGCGTTTCTATTGTATACCTCGAGACGAGCAAGCCTCGATTTTACTCCAAGAATTTTGCTCCTCTCCTTTGAAAAGCCTTTCACGATTTTGGAATCACGATCTAGCGACCTGTTTTCTCTCTGGGTCAACGAACAGGTAAATTTCATGTTATTTCGGAGCATGGAGAGTAATTATTTTAGAAAAATTAATGAATACTCAAGCTTTATCGAGAGGAAGATTAAAAGAAGAAAGGGTCGCGTTGGAAAATAGACACGTAATATTATGACGAATAAAATTGCTCGTTGAAATGAATTTAACAGAGGGCAGAGGGGAACGAGAGCGACGTGTCTCGTTGTTTGGTCGTCGCTGACTCACTGCTCGCTTTTCGTTACGATTAATGTTATTCGACCTCGAGAAAAAGAAATAAGCGCGCAAGGGACGGTGGAGGTCCAGCATGGCCATAAGTGGAAACGATGATCGAGACTGGCCTTATCGTCACGGTCCGTTTAAGTTTAAATAACTTAAAGCTTCGAATTCGTAACCGCAGACTAATTATTACTCGATCCTCGTAAAGTTAAAATCCTTTTAAAAATGGCCGTTACTCAAAAAACCAGTCAGGTGACAATTTTATATTTACGACCTATCACGCATTAAAACTCAGTGAATAAAAAATTAAATCTTCTTCCCTTCGTTTCGAGGTAATATCAGAGAAGAGATCGTTAGTTTCATCCGATTACCCAACGATCCTTCTTAATCGTCGCTTAGCTGAAATTGCAGGGACTAATTCAGCCCCAAGGCGATCGCGCAGTCATCAACGGTTCCAGGTATGTATCTGGGTAATTAAAATTCCCATTTGAAATGACTGCGCGACACCGTTGTGTATCTCACTGGCTCTCCCTCTGCCCGATATGGCAGAACAAGAAGATTCCGAGAGCGTGCGAGATCGGTAACGGAGTCTCAAAGGAAAAATAGGAAAAAAGTTTACGACTGCCCTTGCTTTGAACGGCGAGAAATCGTTTCTCGCGGCATATCTGCGCCGACTGACTGACTCATTGTAGCCGTTCCATATGGGATATCGTGCTAGATTTTAAAAGGCTGTCGACTGTCGCCTTGAAGAGTGCTTCTATCGCCGTTTATGGTCGAAAAATCGTTCTGAAAGAGGTGGAAAGTTCTTTTCGCTCGAGAATGTGGATGTTGGAATAAGAGAACCAGGAAGAGGACACACGCGACATCCTGAATTTTAAGACGAAGCATTCGGTATCATAATAAAAGAGTAGTCCTTGGCCGATTGGCAAGAGCGAAGTTGATCGAGAGGAGCGGTCAAAACCGCAATGTCAATTGCGATCACTGATTGACGGTATCCCGTATGTCAGGCAGCGAACCGTGCCAAACTAAGCTCGCAATTATTGCAACCGATTCCACCTAATCTACACATCCCAAGTATCGCACGGCCCGAATCGATTCCGTTCCGGGATTTTCATTTAGGCTCGTTGCGTTTTGCCTGTGCCATTTTCAACATTACCGAGGCAATAGTTAGCACGTGGAAAGATTTTCTCGTTGCGTGTTTACGATTTACGTATGTAGATATAGGAGGAGGCTACTCGTGATGTAAGCAATCATAGCCGAGGTGCGGCGATGCATTAACCGCGTTGGCCGGCATCTTTGCATTCTTCGGATCCTTCGCGTCGCGTAACAGGATGTCGCGTCCTTGGCGCACCGATACGTCCAACGCGAAGCCTCGAACAGGCGTAAAATTGCAGTTAAATCTGTCTCCATCCTTGTAATTCGTCTTAGATGAAATTTGAAATATCAATTGGGCTACATAGAATTAAACGCGATTCGTCACACCGCGTCGCGTCGCGTCGCGTCGCGTCGGTGTCCTTTGTTTAGAACTGATAAATGGAATTGCGTAACGTGTGCGAGAGGAAATGTACGCGTTTTGTCTACTCAAATTCGTTATTTTGACAAAGAAATTTGAAAGAATAAAATAGGTCCAACAGCAATGGTTCTCATTATTCCGTTAGTTTCTCACGAATGATGCCTGTTGATTCTAGACGTACGCGAAAGACAAGACACAGCAAAAGAGCTTGCCACCGCACACCACGCTCCAGAGGCACGTGAAAGCGAACAGAAACGTTCACATACCACGGTAAACTTTCATGGAAACAGAGTCAATCTGTATACGTAAATATCGATTCCATACGAATTCATCGATTTAATTATATTTCAGATTTTACTTTCCTGGAGGAAAACCTGTGCCGGTGTCTCAGATCGATGCAACCGTTTCCAAGATCACTGCTGCTTTCCAAGCTCTACCAGGCCATCGGGCTTCTCGTGGTCAATTTCATACCATCACCAAGGTAATATCATGCCGCTCGTGACAACATGTACACTCGAAACATTATTTCTGTCCACGTTTATGCAAATAAACCTTGAATAAAAAGTTATAAATAAATTGCTCTAATTTTCAAAATACCCACAGTTTCGAACTGTGATCCATTTTCTATAATTCAATAAGAAATTAGAGCAATCTCATTGTTTTTATTATGTACATCGATATTAATTTTTCTTATACGCCGCGTTTGCGAATGACCTACATTTAAAACTCCTTCGACGACAAAGAAATTGAAACGAAACCGTAATAACGAGGCTCGTTAAAAGTTTCACGAACGATTGCCTTCTTCTTATTTATTTGTTCATCGTTGCGATGAAACTTGGAGGAAATTGATCGGCATTTTCCAAGCACTGTTTACGTGGGAAAGCAAGAGAGTTGTTTTGCTCGAACAGTCGTGTACAAAAGGGTATGATTTGTCTTACAGGCATGCGACTTGCCGCTTTACTGGAAGGTGCCGCTTTTCCTCGCGGCTGGAGGAGATCAGACTGGATACGTCGAAATGAATGCGTTCCTTGATTTCTGGAAAGAGTAAGAGAATTTTATCCTCTTATACTTTTAATCATCAAAGATTTAATCGCGACGTTCAATTATTGTTAATTATACAATCAAGATTCATCGAAATTTCCCAAATATAACATAGTTTTCGTTTGCAGATTGTCGAATACCCACCACGACGCGGCGAGCAAGTTTATCAGAATCACAACCCGAGGCCAGAGGAACAATATACTCCCAGAGGATTTAATCCCATTGGTCCAAGACGTGGTCGAGACTCACCCTGGTTTAACTTTCCTGAAAGAGGCTACTGAGTTTCATTCACGCTACGTACACACGGTTCGTATCCGCGTGATAAATATTTGCCGGGTATTTCTCTTACCGAACACAACACTGACAGAGAAAGATTCCACTGGTAATGGGGCGGTAGTTTACGCAACGAGAATCCTCTTGAATTATTCAAGATAATCGTGTTTGCCTCGAGCAATGATCGTTTTAGCAAGTGGACACAATACCGCTTCATCTGAATTCTTTATCCACGGAATCTTTTCTTCTCTTTTCTTCTTTTCATCGATAATAATTAGCTTCTGTAGTTGCACGTCCGTCCGTTATGTTTCAACGTCGACTATCTGCCTGAAAAGGCTATTTGCATTTAACGTTCTCGAAGTCGATCGATTTGCATTTCAGGTGATCGCCAGGATATTTTATTGCGTAAACCGAAGCTGGAGCGGAAGAATCTCTGTAGCTGAACTGAGAAGAAGCAACTTAATGTCGGTGATCGCGATTCTAGAACACGAGGAAGATATCAATCAAGTTACCGCATACTTCAGCTACGAACACTTCTACGTTATATATTGTAAATTCTGGGAATTGGATCGGGATCACGATCTCTTTATCGATAAAACCGACCTCACCAAACATAACGATCATGGTGAAGACGTGATTCCTTATTATTTCGATTAATTTAGGCTTTCCTTAATTAAACTGCTGATAATAACGTACTTAATTGTACTTTAGCCCTGTCGAAACGTATGATCGCAAGAATATTCAGCGGTGCCGTGACAAGAGGTGGCATGAAAAGTGGGAACGGTGTGCAGCAACCACAGGATAAAATGAGTTATACAGAGTTTGTATGGTTCTTGTTAAGCGAGGAGGACAAAAACCACCCGACTGCGATCGAATATTGGTTTAGGTACAATATACAGTATCTGGTGTATGTATATATTTTGATATATAGCAGAGATTATATTGACGGTGATCAACAGGTGCATGGATCTCGATGGAGACGGTTACTTATCAATGTACGAGCTGCAATATTTTTATGAAGAACAGTTGCACCGCATGGAAGCAATTGGAATCGAAACGTTGCCCTTTGAGGACTGTCTTTGTCAGGTAAGTCGGGAATTTACTATAAATAGTATGCAAAGTATGTGTCTTCAATTTAAATAAAATTTTTCATGGAACGTTGAATAGATGTTGGATATGATCAAACCAGAGACACCAGGAAAGATATCTTTGAGCGATCTGAAGAAATGCAAAATGACGTCGATCTTCTTTGATACATTCTTCAATCTTGAGAAGTACCTGGATCATGAACAAAGAGATCCCTTCGCGTCAGCTAGAGAACACGATCCTGATGGTCACGAGGTAAATTTTCAATAGTCATTTAACGAAGTGTACGCGACAACCCTTTGGGATTTCACAATGTTATTTCATTTGTAATAGCTGTCAGATTGGGATCGATTCGCAGCAGAGGAATACGAATTGCTAGTTGCTGAAGAGAGCGGTAACGAACAGAACGAACAAATGTAAGTATCGACGTCGCGTAATTCTTGAAAGAACACACGGTTCATCTATGTTACACAATCGTACGTCATCTTCATCTAATTACGTCATTTTCATTATCGACTACTAACGAACCGTTTCTTATGAAATAATAAACCATACAACGAATCAAGTTGATCGAAGCTAATTCTGACGAAACGTTGACCAAGATACCAAGAGAAATTGAACGTTATTCCGCAATATAATAGATGAACCGGACCGATGGTTTCTGTAGAAAGTCCTGGCTTACAATTTCAAGCTATGAAACGGAACTCATAGCTTTCGAATTGTGGCATGCTTTGTCGTTAGATAGGCAGTTATGCCCCCCATTGCGGGATCTAACAGTTTCACCATGTACTTTGACCGTAATGACAATGGTGCGATATATGCGTTTGTTGCAGGCTGTGTGATGATGAAATGTAAACCATCATCTGCAGCTCAGTAAGTAAAGAAAATAGAGAAAAGTAAAAAACAGAATTGCATGATATGATGATGCATGTGTATGCATAATGTATTAATGGAGAGTTGGCTAACCGCTTATTTATTTACTTCTTTATTTTTATTACTCCTCTTCTAGAATATCGTATACTATTCGTATCTAACTAGGATACTGTTAAATACAATGAATTATTAATTTTGATTCGCTCCAAGAAATTGAGCAGCTCCAGGATTATATGAATCATTAATTAATGGTATTAAAGAGTGTGAATTGTTATCTGTACGATGATCTCCTGAAATAACATTCGTGAAGTGTTTCAACTCTCAACAGTGAAACTTGAACATCGAATTTCAAATATATCTTGCGTAATCGTTTCGTATTTCATTTTCTCATTTCCATTTTTACGCTCCGTAGGATCGTTCGTTTCTGTTGCAGCAAATGTCTGAAACAAAAAGAATTTATTTCAGATTTACAACTTCAATTTAGATTCAAATACACGAGAAACTCTTTGCACATATCCTTAATAGATGCCTTGTTTCTTTGCATTTGCTAAAGCGTGATCTTAAGTTGCATCTTTTTTTTTTTTTTTTTTTTTTTTTTAAGTGGCTAATCAAGTCTTGAAGAACAATGTTCTAAAACGTTTTGCATCGTAGAGTAGTTAATCCATTTATAGTTCACCAATTTATTTAACTTCCAAAGATTAAAGATGTCGTTCAACGGATTTATTTAGTTAAAAAATCTTGTTCTCTCCTCAGGTCGTACGATTGCTTACCAGAGGACGTGTTCTCCCGAAACTTGGACATTTTAGACAGCGAATCGGCGGATTTGCTTGAAAAATCAGACATTCAGTTCTCGGGACATCCTGACGGTCTGTCGACGGTCAGCCAGTCAGATTCGATTCGGCATCAAGCCAGAAGTCAATATTATGATAGCGGTGACAGTGATGATTACGCTGAAAGCGACAATTAATCGTTTCCTCGTTTGCAAACGCGCAACGATATCTGCTTGAAGAAATTGAACGTGATTGCAAAGAAGAGAAATATCCTGTCCCCTCGAAGCGAGAGTAGTTTAAACGTGTAGTTATTCTCTATACGATTAAGAGAATCGTGTAATCTCGTCAAGAATGACCGTATCAACGATGGCAGAACGATTCTCAATGGATCACCGCATCATTTTTGTATCGAAGGATCATCAGATACGAATCTATTCGGTGGTCAACTTCGAATCACCGCTCTGAAGTACAAAAATAGCCGAGGAATTTTGATTTTAACATTCTACCCAGGTGAAGGAATGTTCGAACAATTTTATTAATCGTTTACGAGTGAGAAAAATGAAGATTGATTTTTCTAAAAGTAGGGGGATTCACTTTTCACCGAAGTGTTAAATAGGAACACGTCGAAAATTGAGCCGCCTATACGCAGAAATTTGGAAAAGCTCGACATCACCGAATCGATCCGTAACTCTGAATAGTCTGGCGATAGAAATCAGGCCATGTGATAAACGGGCGTCGTTGTTCAACTTATCAATGATATACATATTGTGTACTTCGTGTTGTAAATAGACAGCAAATCACGGACCCTTATTTTTACTTAAACATGTGGGAATCATTTGAAATAGCGGCTCTTTCAATTGCTGCAGCCGTTCGTTAACGTGTTGACTGTTATGAGGGGGGGGGGGGGGGGGGGGGGGGGGGGTTTCTGTGGACTAATGCTACAAATTGAATCCAATGAAACAGTGGAAAAAATGAAGCGTATAGCTATTTCTACAGTGCTAGTCAACGTGTTAAGGAACTTTTGGACCTGTAGCTTTAGGAACATTCTCACGAAGGATCAGGTTCTACTTGGTCGGTTCTTAAAGTTTCATTCTCGTGAACTACCCTTTTTCTAGCCCAAAGAAAGTCATATTTTTTAGACGAAACAAAAAGAAGAGAGAAAGGAAATTTTGCGAGCATATACACACGTACACTCTCTGTTTCTCTTGAAAAGAGAATTCACTGTTCGAGGCTGCAACAAGTGGAAATTGCGCGTGAAAGGATACACTAACGTGAGAAAAAAAAAGAAAAAAATGAAAAAACTTTTACCCTTCTGTACTCGTCTTGTACACCATTAGTATTACGCTGTATGCGACATTAATTACACGCACGATAATATCGTTCGAAGGGTTCCGAGACGAGAACCGTGACAAAGTATTCAGCTAATTGCACGTAGAGTACTCGTAAATGGGTGTTCGTCTTCTTTTTGTCGATGGTTGCAGACTGCTTCAGGCTTTGCGATTTCGTTTGCGATTTCGAAGTAGGTTTGTACCGAGACGATAGAGTAACAAGCCAAAGACGCGAAACTAGGAGAGGAAAAGAAGAAGAAAAAACAGAGAAATTCTGAATGAAGATCGTGCTTAAACGATACACGACACATTGTTCTCTTCAACAATAAGCGACGAATGTTATTAAGGCTCTGGGAAATATCGAGTGCGTTCGAATTTCCCCTTGTTTATTGAACGTTTAGCGAACGTAGCTTTTGTAATCTAAGTTTAAAGTTGCTTCGTAGTGTTCTCTTCGAAACGATGCATTCTAAATATTCATTGTTTCTTCTCTATTTGTCTCTCTCTCTCTCTCTCTCTCTTTTTTTTAATTAGTTTAATAAGGTAACAGAGATTTTATGTACTTTTTAACGCTGTTAAGGAATCATTTATCGTTTAAAGTAATGAAAAATTCGACCACAAATATATAGAAGATTCTTCGATTTTTAAACTTTCTTCGGGAAAAAGAGTATTTTCCCGTTGTATACGATCGTCGAAGAACGTGTGGTATAATTTCGTTGGGAAAAAGAACACTTAAATGCGGTTCAACAACTTAATAAGTTTGCGAGTTTGGAGACCAATTTGTACCCTGTGTTATTTCTCATTATGTCTCTCTTCATTGTTACCATTCAGTTATTAACAGATTCGCTACCAGCGTTCCGTATATGTGTTACAATCTAAAATTGTTATCTTATATATATATATATGTATATATATATATATATATGGGTACATTAAAAATAAACAAAGGTTGTTTCACTTGTGGTATAACATGATATTAAGTAGTATAGTATTATAAATGATGTATATGACTCGAAATTATGTTATTTTATTCAGTGTTTTATAAAAAGAAAAGGGAGAAAAAAATTGAGCGCTGATAGCGAACATGTTAATCGATTGTGAGATCTTGTTTCTGCGTGAATTTTATTCCCTTGTTGTTCTAATATTAAATGGACAATTATTCGAATAATATATATATATATATATATATATCTATTGTTTCTTAATAGAACGCCCTGATCAAGGGTACAGTTACACTATCGCAATTTGCTTGAACCGCCAAGACTGCTGGAATATGTATGTATATATTACTTTTTCCGCAAATTTGATTTAATCGCGTACATAGAATATATACTACTCTAGTCGAAATGTGTGCTATAATTCACGTAACGAAAACGGCGAATTCATTTGTTCTTCTTAATTTCTTCCATGTTATTTGATGAATTGCAAGCTACTTATTGATGCGTGTAAAAATTTCCTTCGTCGTAAAGGATATTTAATCCTGGAACAGAAAATTTCCATTTAAACGAGAATATGTTAGTAATAAAATAATATCCAACGTATTAGTTACGGTAATTTAGTAAAAAATATTTTTCATTTCTTTGGATGAAAGGTATCTTGTTTACCAACAGAGCGTTGAGAAGAGAAGTTTAAACAAATTAAAAACTATCGATAAACAAAGAAATGAAGAAAATTAATTAAGTTGTAAAAAGAAAAATGTCCCAGAATTAAATATTTACACTCGCTTGGTGCTCTAAATCGATGCTTGGTAAACAAGTACATATTGTTCTTGTTGTTTGCGTACCTATTTAGTTAATTGCACGATCTTCTTTTTCATCAGCTATTTTTAATTCGTGTTTACCAAGATATCAACAACGATACGCGTTTTACTTTACATTGACGAATTTTCATCACTGATACGATGATTGGGAAAGGTTTAATGTTAAAATCTTGCAGAATCGAATTAGTGAATTTCGCCGTAATATTTCTAAAAAAAGGGATAGTTAACCCTTTATTTGATGAGATAAAATTACAGAACGAATAACTCTTTTTTCGTTGAAATAAAATAATAATTATGGATTATGGATTAAGGATTAAGGATCTCCAAGTAAAGGGTTAATATTTTAGAGGAGGTTATTTAATTTCTCTGCTGCATTTTCCGCACCCAGAGAACCATTTTTTGCGAGTGATCGCTTTTGTTGACTATCCAAAGATGTAACTATTAACATTTACAGTTGTATCTTTTATATAGCTCGTTATAATTTTTTTACCATATATATGTATATATATGTGCATATCTCTTTTATAGAGTTTCATCATGACAACATAGTATCCATCAAATTTCCATTGAACGAAAGTTAAAACAAGAAAAAAAGGAATAAGAAATGTTTAATTATTCGTAATTGCATTTGGTCATGTATTCGATTGTTATATATTTATTCATTACTGTATGATAGGTTTATCACTGTTCTAGCGATCTGTTACACGACTTCTGAATCAAGCAGTTATCTCGAGCGATTCCGTGTCTATTTCTAAGGAAGAATGATTATTTTTCATGGGACAACTGGTACGGTTGAGATATTAAATTCATGGTTAATATTCGCACACGCGTGCTTAGACGGTTTCGATAATACACTCACGTTCACCATTTTTATTTATATATTTTATCTGTGCATGAGTAGACAATTAAGGTAATTTTGCAAGTTAATAAAAATGATTGGTAAAAGAAATGTCACTTGGAATTGTGATAATTTATCATTCTCTTCCCGCTTTCTTTTTAAATCGTTGCCAAATAATAATTATTTACAGTAGTTGATGCACAGAACTGTAATTTCACACGAATAAAAGTGTGGTTGACATACAGAAAATGGAAGATTCATTGTTTGACAATCTTGTATTCACAAATTTGTATTTTAAAAAGACCGCTATAAATTAAATATTTTTGAAATTCGACCCTAGCGACATCTATACAAAAATGGCTGAAACTACTCAACGACTTACCGATTGATTATCTAAGGGGGAACACTTTCCGGAAAAACGGCCGATAAGTTACTGAGTAGTTTCAGCCGTTTCTGCATAGATGACGCGACAGGCGAAAACGAAATATATAACTCCCTACCTTTGGTTGATGTCCGCAGACAAACTGATGCGCTTTAGCGCGAAACAGCTTTTTCATAGATCGCGGCGCCGCCACGCATGCGCTATGACCCTCCTTAACATGCAGATCGCAGACCTTAACTCACCTGGGGGTGTCTGGGACCCCCAAAATCGCAACCCTTTGAAGGTAAAGGCATGTCGAATTTTTTGTATCTATAGTCACTACTATGCACATGGTTGGATATAAATTGTAAACATACAAATGATCTGATGCAGTCATGTGAGCATTAACATCAATATTTAACAAGTTAAGCTCAATAAAAAGCAATATGTCATCAAAATTAAATACTGGATTACCAGGTGAATTATTATTTTGATACTACACAAACATCATGTTATGATCAATATCAATATGTATAATAATTAATGTTTTCAGATGTTCCATTACCATTTTCTGTCCTTATGATCATTTTATTATCTCTGTGCTTTGCTAACAGTTACAATGGAGAATTTGTATTTGATGATTCTGAAGCTATTCTAAACAATGAAGATGTACAAAGTACTCCTCTCCGGGATATATTTAACAATGATTTTTGGGGAACTAAGCTGACCAATAAACAAAGTCATAAATCATATCGACCACTTACAATTCTGACTTTTCGGTAAAGTGAGTCATATGAAAGAAACTAACACATTTGATCACTTATTGTAAACAGATAACTTTCTTAGATTACACTTTTGGCTCCGTGAAAGTTTGATAGCTCAAGATTATCATATAGTAAATATAATATTACACACACTGGTTTGTGTGTTAATGTTGCCAGTATTCAATATACTATTGGGTGCAAAACAGAAGAATATTGCATTTTATGCTATTGCATTGTTTGCTGTTCATCCGATACATGCAGAAGCTGTAAATAACAATCAATTTATTTATATCTTTTCTAAAAAAGAAACATATTTTAATGATTCATTTAAATGTATAGGTTTGTGGTATTGTGGGTAGAGCAGAATTATTATGTGCTTTGTTCATATGGATATCTATCCTATGTTATCATTGTTCAATTTATGCAGAAAAATTAATACACAGATGGCTTAGTATGTGTGGTTGTATTGTATTCATTGCAATTGCAATGCTATGCAAAGAAACAGGAATTACTGCAGTGGTAAGAATCATGAAAACTTCTTATTAATTATTATTATTAATAATAATTATCATTTTTTAGGGAATTTGCTGTGTATATGATCTTCTAATTGTAAATGAAATACTTCCAAGTGATTTAATTATACATATTATGAAAAAGCCTTCTTGGATAGTAATAAAACAATTTATTAGACAAAAGCAGAAATTGTTAATCAGACTATTTGTATTGCTTACATCTGGTTTAATACTTATTTTTTCAAGATTCTGTGTTATGGGATTCAAAGCTCCAACTTTCCAGTCTGTAGATAATCCAGCATCATTCATGAGTAATATATTTTTACGAATGTTGAATTATAGTTATATTTATTGTCTGAATATATGGTTATTAATTTGTCCTCAATGGTTGTGTTTTGACTGGTCAATGGGCTGCATACCTTTAATTACCACTTATGAAAAAAGAATATCTTTTGTTATTCTTTTCTGGTTAGTACTTGGCACAATGTTTATGTACACTGTCAACTCCTATGAAGATAAATATCTAAGGTAATTAGTTAGTAACCAATTAAAATTAAATTCTAATAATAGGAGTGTATTTTCTTTCTTTTATAGATACTCAATTATGGGACTAGTAATGCTCATTATTCCATTTTTGCCAGCTAGCAACATCTTTTTTAATGTTGGTTTTGTTTTAGCAGAGAGAACATTATACATTCCCTCTGCCGGTTATTGTCTTTTAATTGTTATAGGATTACAAAAGCTTTGTAATCGAGTTCCTACACAGTATTTACTACTATCATATACAATTTTAATTGTATTATTTTTTACAAAGTCGTGGGTAAGAAGTGAACAGTGGAAAACTGAGACCACACTGTTTAGGTCAGCATTGCATGTTTGTCCATTAAATGCAAAAGTTCATTATAATATTGCAAAAAATGCTGCCGATGTTGGAAATTTGATACTAGCCCAGTATGAATACCAAGAAGCTTTAAGGTATAGAAAACAATAATAGGTGTACTTAAAAGTAAAGGAATTAATTGCACAATTTGTTAAATAGATTAAATCCTACATATGCTCAAGCTATGAACAATCTTGGTAATTTACTTAAAGATCAAGGAAAATATGTAGAAGCAGAAACTTTGTTTAAACGGGCTATTGAACTGCAGTAAGTTGAACTATTCTTATTTATTTAAGATATAATGATGAGAATAATTGTGTGTTTTAGGGAGGATTTTGCTACAGCATGGATGAACTTAGGTATTGTCTTGTCAGCTCTTAGAAAGTATAAAGAATCAGAAAAAAGTTATTTAACTGCTCTTTCTCATAGAAGCAAATATCCTGATTGCTTATATAATTTGGGAGTACTGGTAGGTAACTTAAACATTAATCATGCAAATATGAAAATAATCATTTTAAACTAAACTACGATAATTGCAGTATCTAGAACAAAAAAATTATGACAAAGCATTGAAAGCTTGGGAATCTGCTACTAGGCAAAGAAAAACACACAGAAGAGCATGGACAAACATAATATTACTTCTTGATGACTTAGGTATGCGCGAAGAAGCGCTTAAAATGGGTTATCAATCTTTGCATTTTCTACCAGGTGATGCTTCGATTCATTTTAATATTGCAAACATGCTAGGCAAAGTTGGAAATTTTGTAGAAGCAGAAAAACATTTTAAAAATGCGATATCAAAAAATCCTGCAGACGCTATGTTTTATACGAATTTAGGTGTATTGTACCACCGATGGAATAGATTTCGTGAAGCAGAATATATGTACAAACAGGCGTTAAAAATTAAACCACAACTAAATAGTGCAAGGGATAATTTAAGAAAGTTGTATTCTATAAAAACGGCAATATAATAATTTATTTTTATATAAAAAATTAAATTTATAATAAAAATGAAACATATTTATACATCTATTTTTCCCTTTACAGCCTCCATATTACGCGGATATGGGTATGCTTTAAAATTTCCTATCTTTTTACCATCAATGTAATTATATGATTTGAAACACGTATCACAAAAATAACAAGGATTATGTGGTATTCTTTCGTGATCCATTGTAATCCATTGTGCATTGTATATACCACATATCATACAAAATTTAGAAGTCATAGGTCTTAATCTGAGCACCTTGGGATATACAGATACAGCTAAATCATCATCAGAATTAATCAACCTAAAGATAGTAATGTTTTAAATCGAAAACAATGCATTCTTAATGTTAGGAATTTTTTTTACGAAATAATTAAATTACCTAGCATCGCTAAAAACAATCAAATGTTCACAACCACCTTGGTGCTTGTACACCCATGGATATCCAAATCTCAAGTGCAAGGAATCTATTCGGCAATCTTCCATTACAGCAGTTTTAAAAGGTCCCAAGTTTGACCGTCTCTGTGCCCAATCAATAATCACTTTACTATAATCAACATTTGCTGGGCATCTCGTATCATTATAAAAGGTGTCTTCAATAAAAAAGAATCCTGATTTATATACATCCTACAATATGTCAGAGATATGTTATATAACTGCTTAAAAGATATGTAAAGATGAATTACCTTTGCCATAGGTCCTACTGCATTATTCAAATTTTCACTACATTCCCTAGAAACAGTGTAATCAGACATACATGATATTTTATCTCGTAAATCAGCAAGTGTCTGAGAACCTAATATACCAAGTATATTATTTAATCTTAATTTTGAGCCACATTCTCTCTTGGGTACATTCTTTGTACGTTGCATGAAAGGATGATAAATTCTAATAGAAATAAGAATATCTCTACCAGGTGTAACTTGTGGTCCACTTATTTCTTTTGTTTTTTCAGTATCCTAAAGGGAGGTATAATAATTGTATATTAAAAATATTTATTGATACTTGAGTTTGACTTAACAATAAAATACTTACTATAAATAATTCACTTTGATACTTATAAGAAATTTGTCTAGTATCTCGATTAAATCTTTTTCTTAAATGTTGAATTGTTTTCAAGGGTACATCTACCGGTTCCTGAGGATCAAATGTTTCTTTCTTTCTCATTTTTCTGGTATTAAGTAGTTTTGGAAATTCCCCGTTTACTGTTAAATTGTCAATGCTAAAAGTCACATATAATTTATATTATTAAAAATGGTAATGCTATAGATATAATTTGAACTAAATAATACCTGCAATAATTCATCAACATGGACATTTCTTCGTCCTCAAGTTCTACTCCCATTAGTGATATAATATCAGCAGTATCTTTTTTCATAGACATAAAACAATCGGCATATCTTATCATATTTAAGTATTCATCAAAATATTCTTTTATTTGTATCTTTGATGATGCATTGTTGTTATAAAATTTATACACGTCATCCATTATTCTTTCAATATAATATTTGGTGATGCTAGCGTCGAAAACTTTACCGACATACCCTTGAAAAATCCCTAGAAACGAGTTTTCAAATTACGTCGTCATTTCTGAACAGAATGCAAAAAAATTTGAGGGACGTGTCCTGGAGGCTCTAAAGAATGGTAGTCTGGTCCTTATATTATCCAAATCGTCAAAAAGTTATAAAATATTGAAATTTATGTCTGTCAACCGTCAAGAAAATGGCGGATCGGACTCACGAATTGACGAACGCAAAGTTGACTGGCAATTATCACGCAATTGTTCAATATATTACTCGCGTCTTCAATTGGTTATTTCGAAATTATCAGTCTCTTCAAATCTATTCTTTAGATCATTTCTTTTATCTCGGGGGTCAGGGCTGCTGGCATCGGAAGTAGGGGCTCCAGACGCCCTTGCCCGCAGCCCGAGGAGAGGCCGGTACCGGGTGCGACCCCCGGTGTCGGCCAAAATGCTAAGCACCCAAGATGGGTACCAATGTGGCAGGTAAATAAGTGGAGGGCTCCGGAGTAATATACATAAGGTCCCAGAGCCCTTCTTTAGCGTCAGTGTCGGTCGCCGTGGGGTTTTAGTCAGTAGGAATCTGACACTCCCCCGCCGCCCTCCCCCAGGGGTCGGTGGGGGGTCTTATGCAAGATTTCCCCACGTTAAAAAAAAAAAAAAAAAATAAAAAAAAATCCTTTACATCTCTCCTTTCCTTACAATCCTGCATCCCTTACATCTCTGCATTCCTTACATTTCTGCATCCCTTACATCTCTGCATCCCTTATATCCCTGCATTCCTTACATCCCTGCATCCCTTACATCCCTACATCCCTTACATCTCTGCATTCCTTACATCCCTGCACCCCTTACTTCCCTGCATCCCTTACAACCCGGCACCCCTTACTTCCCTGCATTCCTTACATCCCAGCAACCCTTACATCCCTGCATTCCTTACATCCCTGCATCCCTTACATCTCTACATCCCTTACATCTCTGCATTCCTTACATCCCTGCATCCCTTTTGTAAGCATCACATTATAGCGCCTCCTGGCGGCAAAAAAAACAACTAAAGCTCGTCGAAATTTTGGTCCTCTAGCGGGAAAAATTTGAACTAAAATTTCGACGTCGAATCAGCGCCATCTGGTTTCAAAAAAAGGAACTAAAGCTTGCCGATATTTTGGCCCTCTAGCGGGAAAAATTTGAACTAAAATTTCGATGTCGAATCAGCGCCATCTGGTTTCAGAAAAAGGAACTAAAGCTTGCCGAAATTTTGGCCCCCTAGCGGGAAAAATTTGAACTAAAATTTCGATATCGAACCAGCGCCATCTGGTTTCAAAAAAAGGAACTGTAGCTTGCCGAAATTTTGGCCCTCTAGCGGGAAAAATTTTAACTAAAATTTCGATGTCGAATCAGCGCCCTATGGCGGCGAAAAAGGGAACTAACTTACCTTTACTTACCTTTACTCGAAGCAGTCTTTATAATATATTTATTATAAGGGATGCAGAGATGTAAGGAATGCAGGGATAAAAAGAATGTAGGGATGAAAAGAAGGTAGGGATGATAAGAATGTAAGGATTTAAGGGATGAAGAGAGGTAAGGAATGTAGGGATGGAAAGAGTGTAGGGATGAAAAGAAGGTAGGGATGATAAGAATGTAAGGATTTAAGGGATGAAGAGAGGTAAGGAATGTAGAGATGGAAAGAATGTAGGGATGATAAGAATGTAAGGATTTAAGGGATGAAGAGAGGTAAGGAATGTAGGGATGGAAAGAGTGTAGGGATGGAAAGAGTGTAGGGATGAAAAGAAGGTAGGGATGATAAGAATGTAAGGATTTAAGGGATGAAGAGAGGTAAGGAATGTAGAGATGGAAAGAATGTAGGGATGATAAGAATGTAAGGATTTAAGGGATGAAGAGAGGTAAGGAATGTAGGGATGGAAAGAGTGTAGGGATGGAAAGAGTGTAGGGATGAAAAGAAGGTAGGGATGATAAGAATGTAAGGATTTAAGGGATGAAGAGAGGTAAGGAATGTAGAGATGGAAAGAATGTAGGGATGATAAGAATGTAAGGATTTAAGGGATGAAGAGATGTAAGGAATGTAGGGATGAAATGAACGTAGGGATGAAGTGATGTAAGGGCTACAGAGATGTTGGGGATGTAGAGATGTAAGGGATGCAGAGATGTAAGTAATGTATGGATAAAAGGAATGTAGGGATAAAAAGAATCCAAGGATGTAAGAGATGCAGGAATACAAAGAATCCGGGGATGTAAATTGCGGGGTAAACTCTGTCTGCATATCAACATATCATCCTGGGGTGTCAGGGACCCCGAAGCACTGGCGGCGATCTGTGTGCACCGATCTGATTCCATCCTGGGGTATCTAGGACCCCGAAGTAGCAACGACACTGATTGCATATCCACATCCTGGCAGTCGGGGTTCCTGGGACCCCGAAGCACTAGTGGTGCTTTTGCATACCGATACTATGGCATTCGGGGTGCTTGGGACCCCGAAGAACAGTCGACACTGCATACCGCCGTTATGACACCCGGGGTGTCAGGGACCCCGAAGCACCATTGACTGTCTCTGCACACCGACATCTTATAATCTTGGGGTTCTTAGGCACCCGAATGCCATCTGGGGGTTCTCAGGAACCCCGAATGTCATCTCGGGGTTCTTAGGCACCCGAATGCCATCTTGGGGTTCTCAGGCACCCGATTGCCATCCCGGGGTTCTCAGGAACCCCGGATACTATCTGGGGTTCTTAGGCACCCCGGATACAATCTTGGGGTTCTTAGGCACCCCGAATACCATCTTGGGGTTCTCAGGAACCCCGAATATCGTCTTGGGGTGTCAGGGACCCCGAAGCAAGTAGCGAAATATAAGACCTAAAAAGGAACAAATCGTGAAACTCACTTGTTCGGGATAGTGATGGGTTTGACCGGATCTAGCGAAATATAAGAACGGAAAACGAACAAATCATGAAACTCACTTGTTCGGGATAGTGATGGGTTTGACCGGATCTAGCGAAATATAAGAACGGAAAACGAACAAATCGTGAAACTCACTTGTTCCGAATAGTGATGGGTTTGACCGGATCTGTAGCGCATGCGCACTACAATTATTTATTATAAAACAAACTTGTAAATAATTAAGAAATTATTCACTCACATAAATGAAAATTTGTAAATCACAAATGATTTCCACTCAATTATAGTTATCAGTTATCACAAAATCTGTTTATTATAAAAAATTACTAAAAAGTTTCGGCTCACATCATGATTGAATTAAAATTGCTAATTACAAAAGAACTAATTTGTCACGAACGTTAAAAATAGACTCACAATCAATCACAAACGATTGTACAGTGTTTCTCATAGTTATTCAGTATTTTGTACGTTAACAAGTTCCTCAAGATGGATTAGCAAATAAATTTTGATAACCACTGTTCCACATGTCCAAGCTGTCAGTATGTGTAGTACACGTCATAAGTTTTATTGTTAAAAGACGAATAGAAATATTTATTAAAAAGCATGGAACCATTATATCATCAAACAAACAAATTAGTCCAAGAAACACAACATCTTTTCTCACAGCTTGAGAAATACTCACCTAACTTAAACATCCAGGAAATAGAAGATAATATTGAATCAAAAATAAATCTTATCAACAGGTAGTTAATTGCTGAATTTTAGCTTTGTACATTTATGAAATTTACAAAGAATTTATAGGTTCACATATTATGCATATAATATACATAATGATCATATTTTGTTCGTATGTAACAATTATTGTATTGTTTTCTTTGTACTTTGTAGCAATTGTGAAAGGTTAGATGTGTTGTGCCTTAAAGGCCCTATATTTCAAAGGCAAAATGCTAAAATGCGAGTAGATCAGCTGAAGTATGACAGCCGTCATCTAACAGCTGCTCTAAATTCTTGGAGAAGAAAAATGATGATGAAGCAAAGAGAAGAAGCAGAAAGAGAAGCATTATTGTCTAAAAAGTTTACTACAAATGCTCAAGTTGACATTGTGATAGATCATAATGTGCAACAAAATTCTAGTTTACAAAATGCAATTCATGGAGTAGATGATCTTCTTCAGAGTGGAAGTAGTATTTTAGATAGTTTGAGATCGCAAAGAATAACTTTGAAAGGAGCTCACAAACGATTAATAGATATTGGAAACACTTTAGGACTTTCAAATACCACAATGAGACTGTTAGAGCACAGAGCAAAACAGGATGGATTTGTCTTAGTTGGTGGGATGCTATTCACTATTATTGTTATTATTTTAATTATAATTTATTTTACATAAGAACTGATTTCTTATTTTTAAATGTATACAAGGTGATGCAATTGACAGTAATGTTATTTAAGCATCTCTTTTGTTAATGTATTAAACAAATAAGGGTATATAAAATGTGATATGTTTTATTTACAGTACAAAAGAGACACTTAAAATCTTTGAATTAATAATGTTAACTGCTTCATCTTTTATCCACTAAATTGTGTGTTGTATTGTGAAACTAAAATTCATAGTTGTTGCTAATTATACACCATAACACATGTATTTGTATAATAAAACAAAAATGAAAAATAGATTTAAGAGTTTAAAAAGTTGCAATTTAATTTATTTCGTTACTAAAAAGTTCTTAATTGTTAATTCATAATTTTCATCAAATTTTCAATTATGCTGTCATGAATACTGCAAATTTAGTTGCAAAACGAATTTCCAAAAAGAATTGTTTTATTTCATGATATTCATGTTATGTTGGCAACACTAATTTTATCAATTCATGAAGTATGATGTTATTAAAATGCACGTGTCTGTATATTCACCTAATACTTCAATAAAAATTTCATTTCTATTCCAGTGTGAATAAACAATTAATGTGTTTTATAAAACACTTATGAAGACAATAAATTATGATACCTAGGAGACTATAAATTGTGTTTAAGAAAATTTATGTCATTTTCCCATATACTGAAAAGTACAAATTATACATTTCTATAATTTATGGGAATTGATTTAAACATTGTAATATAAACATTGCAGTATCATAAGCTGTAATATTTCACAGCTTGTTTAACAAACACGAATAGACAGGTTAGTAATTGTTATTTTTAAATATGTTATTATATATAGAAATAAAATATTTGCAATATGTACAATTTAGCTTTACTTTATACTATATATGTTTTCACACATATTTACACATATTATCTGTAATTAAAAAATTGCTTGGTCAGATTTAAGTTATTAACTTGAAACATGAATGATATTTAATATAAGAAAAATAAATTAAAAGAATCTTCAGTTCTGATATATTTCTAAACATTTTTATACTTTTTTCATTTAGATTTTGTTTACCTGTTTACTTTCAATATATACATTATATATACTACTATAACATTATGTAATCATTATGTGTTTTATTTTAAGGTTCTTATTTTTGATTCTGTAAGAATAACTGTAAGAATTTATAAGAGAAACTTCATATAATATTTGTTGCAGAATTTCAGTTATAAAATATCTGGGACAGGTAAGTACAAATTGTTTTTACCAATGTTATGTATTATAATGTTTAAATGTGGAAGTACATTAAAATTTATTAAAAAATTTAAAAGACCAGAAAAATAAATCACTAATATTTTCTAAATTATTAAATATCAATGTTCATTCATTTTAGTATGTCTTTTCCAAGTAAAGAGGATCGTTCAAAATGTTGGAATCATAGGGATGAATATTGGAAATGTCTTGATGATGGTAAATCTGACACAGAATGTAAAAAATTTAGGGATCAGTATGAGAAATTCTGCCCTGCACTATGGGTAAATTTTACATAATATTGACTCTTAAAAATTACAAAACTTGAATGCTATATTATGTTGATTTCAGTAATAATGATATATAAAAATCAACAATAATTTGTAATTTTGTTACATATAATGTTTTCCCTTTAATCAATCTTCGTTTTTATCATTTTTTAATAGGTAAAACACTTTGATCGTAAACGAGAGTACATGAAATTCAAAGAACAACTAGAACAAGGGGGGTATGTTCCTGATGAACCAAAAGCAACATAAAATATAAAACTAATTTAGCGATTGTAATTTATAATTTAATCCATTTAAATTAATAGTTGTTGAACTGTCTTCAAATTAAGTTTTCTTATTTTTATTACTTATAATAAAACAAATGCTTAAAAGTAACAAAATACTGTCTTATATTATATGACAATCCTTAATCCATTATATTAAAAACAGTTTATTTTATTCTTTTCAGTTATTTAGCATTTAGAAAACTATAAGCAAAAAGTTACTTTAATGGCTGCTAAATAACATGCTTGTTTACATTTCAATTAATAATCGATCATCTTTTAGATTTTTTAATATATTTTTATGGCTTTATAACAATTAATTATATTTTATATTTATTTTAACAATTACTGAGAAATGAAGCTATGAAAAAGTAATGTTACCACATATTAATTGCAGGACATGTAGCCTTGATGGTAGTAAAACAGAAACATCTGCTGAAGCTACCACAAAAGCAGTGTTTAATTTTCAAACAACAAGTACAAGTTCATATAACTAGGGAACAAGAAACATAAATGTTGAAGTAAAATATAAAGAATACAATATAATTATTATATTAACATTTGTGTTGTTGAATTTTAATAACAAAATGTGTGTGGAAAATCAGGAATTGAATCATTTAATCAGAGAGCTACAAACATGTTCAGAGAATAGTGTTATTCTCAGAGTTAGTATTTTTCATTAATAAGAATCTATTATCATCTGTAATTCCTTGTTATTTCTACCTTTATAAAATATTTTATTTTGTTTTTTCAGAAATTAATAAATTTCGCTTCATCCTATAAACAGTCATGGAATGATGAAAATTTGAAGGAATTGCAACCAGTGCTAACATACATTCTAGAAATCTTTATTGCAAATACAGAAACAGAAGGAGATAGAATGTTATTGGCTGCTCATACATTTTTTGCTTTACTATCTATGGAACCTACTTTGGTCTTTGTAAAAAGTACCTTTAATAATCTCTTACAACATAATTTTAATGAATTGTGTTTTTGTTATAAGAATTATGATATTGCTGAACGTAATTTATTCAGATTAATGTGTGCCTATGGATATTTACAAGTAAATCGTAGAGGAATGTATTCCAATGATATTTGTGAGCTTATCTTTGGTGTTGTATTTGAACATTGTATACAGTATACTAAACATTCTTACTTCGCATACAAAATACTGTACACGTGGTTGCAAAGAACTATGAATACAAATTTTTGGGACACATGTAACTTAGAATTAGAGCAAAATCTAGAAGCAATTATTTTTTCAAACTGGTGTAATAGTATTAATGAAATAAGTAAGCAAAACTCGACGCTTATTTTTAAAACGTACCTGAAAATTATGGAAGAGAAATATGATGGATACTTAGAATTTCTATTTAGACATTGTGTTGATACAATTTCTTGGCAAAATGAAATAAAATATGATATACTCGCAGAAATTTGTGAAATTTGGGACAATACTAAAATTATGACATCTTATAAATTTTTACTTTCCTTATGTACCAGCTTAACAAAATATTATTTGCGTTCGGGAGGTACAAAAGTTTATCTTGCTATTGTAAAAAAGTTAAACGAAAGCGAGTGGAAGGCAGCATTTGGAGATATAATGAATTATCTTTTTCACTACTGGGAATCAATTGAAAAGTGAGTAAAACTACTTTACACAATTTTGTAATTCAAGTTCAATTATAAATTTTTAATTACAGTGAAAATTATAATGCTCTTCAATTACTCTGCAAACACTGGCTTGAACCAGTTATTAAAATACACGGAAATATCTTAAAATTTTTGTGGCATTTGATAGAAGACATAAAAGGACATTTTCTACGTTCAAATCTTCAAAGAATGTCTAATGAAATGCATATTGTTCTTCCACAACAAGCAAGAATTGAATGCTATATAAATCATAAAAATGAAACTGTGAGATTAAATGGATTTGCAATAAATTGCTATCAAGTAATCAACTTGTATAATGAATGTAAAGATCAGTTTTTCACAATCAAAAGTTTTTTATGGTATAATGCAAATAGTACGTCTGTTTGTATGAGAGATGGAATTATTAAATATTTTCAAATATTTTATGCTAATATTATAAAGATGCGTGACACTAAACCTGAAACCATAAATAATGTACAATATATTATACATTGGTTACACGAATTTTTGTTGGATTGTTTTGAAATTGGTTCCTGTTATCAACGAAAAATCTTTGGTTTAAATTTATACAGAATCGTACTTTCCTATCCAACCGAAGATTTGAATTTTATGAACAAAGAGAGTTTATTTGCTTTATTAACACTTGTATTGGACTCTGCATTTGATATCAAGCAACTAGCTACTTCAATTATCCTTGATTACTTCGATAAGGATATTCTGTCTAGTTTGGAGAAACAAGTAAGAAGGTTTTTATTTAAACATATTTTCTCAATGATGGATAACTAAAACAAATATGACTGTTTCAGGTATTGTATCAGACAGCGTTAAAATACTGTAATTCTTCTAAATTTTATGAAATCGAAAGCGGTGCGGCTCTTATAAAAATTTTAGTCAACTGGGTCCCTTTAGATATTTTACACAATAAGACTGAATGCAAAAATTATAACAGTTATTCGGACTTTTTATTTAATGAAGCTACAAGTCAGTTGATACAAATGAAAAAAGATATTTTAAAAGCAATTGTTCAAAATAAACCATTTTATGGTGTACTGACTGCTTTACGAAACATTGCTTTTCAAAATGGCCCAGAAAATGTTTGCTTAACTTCAAAATTTATTGAAAAGATACTGGTTTTATTAGTAGATGCAACTGATTTTTTTCTGTCTGCACTTTCCTCAAAGTCTGAAAACAAAGGTATATTTCATTTGATCATAATAATTTTTGAATGTTTTTCTTCATAAATAAAATTACTATTATTAAATTAATAAAATTTATTTTATAGAATATTCGTCTTCATTTGCTGAAATGGGATTAGCAATTGATGATGTTATTAAAAACAGTGAAGTAGATAGTATTAATTTTGACGAATTAAATTTAACTCCTGCACATCAAGTTCTTATTTCTTGTATTTGGATGTCTTTGAAGGTAATGTTTTGATTTTTGTTATTAATTTTAATTAATATCACATTGCATTTATAAAAATATAATTATATATATTTCTTATTTAGGTATCCTGTGAAATAGCTTGTGAAATAGGTACACTAATGTATTCTGATGAAACAGTGAAGTCTTCTATTAATATTATTGTTGCTGTGTTACTCAGGTGTAGGCATAAAGGTGTAGTAGAAGCTGCAGGTACAGCAATAGGACATTTATCCAGGTATCATTAAGTTAATTTAAAAAAAGGATTAAATTATTTTGTAATTGTATATAATATTACAATTTTCAGATATTTATGCAAAGAAAGTAAATATTCTGATTTACTAAAAATGCATATTCTCCGTATATTGAAAGATGACAGTATGATACATTCTTTAAATATTACCAGAAGAGATGCTGGCCTGTCGATAATGTTTCATAGAATTGTTGTCGGCGATAATCGAAGAGACAGACCTCTTTTGCATTTTGCGATGCAAAAGTTGTTATTCTTGCTAGGTGATTTTGTAGACTATTCTTTGAAAGAGTTAGTAATTCAATATGACTTCCCTACGGCAAGACGCTTGCATTTCTTACGGGCTCTGGTAGCCAATAAAGAGATACACGCACAGTTAACTCCATACATGGAAAAAATTGCATTGATTTGTTTTAGACAACTGAAATCCGAAATATGGATAATAAGGTAGTCATTTAAAATTGCAACGTTATTGTACTAATATACATTTAAACAAATTCAATACACATTTAAATGTTTTCAGAAATGCCAGTCTACAGTTGTTTGGTGCAATAGTTCCAAGATTGGTGGGTCAAAGTTATGGGGATACATTAGACTTTGGAAATGGTTACTCAATTAATCATTTTATTACGCATTATCCGATACTCGCTAATTACGTTATACAAGAGTTGAAATTTACCGAATTTTTTATTGAATCATATATAAATTCAAACATCGTGCCTATCGTTATGCTCCTTTCAAAATTTTCAAATAGTGGTTGCAGATTAATTGATCATCCTGCACAACATTTTATATCCACAGCAAAATGTTTGCTTCGTACATTATTGTTTCAACATCCTGTTTTATATGTTAGACTTTTAGCTGCAAAAGCATATGCAGCCTTAACAGAATATTTAGAAATTACATCAGTGATAAAACAATTGAAATATAGTCTTTCTTTGTGTAAGAATGTTAATTTAATTCACGGTTATTTACTAACAATGCAATATTTAAAGAAAAAATTGGCTGTTGAAATTGAATGTCTGAATTCATCTTCAGATATTATACCATGTACAAATAATAAATTAAAGCCATGTACAGAATTATTGCGATTTCGTAGAATATTACAAATTTGGAATAATTTATCTAAAAAAGAAAATAATTCACAAATATGTTATATATTAGAGACTTTATTTCTACAATTAAAAGAGTTTAATTTTGATAAAATGTCTGCTACGGATATATTTAATTTCAATGAAAACATACATGTTTTCACTTCCGAAAAAGTAAAGCCAGGATTTTTTCAGTTTATTGATGTTTCAACAAAATTATGTGCTGATTATTTTAATTGTACAAGTAACATTGATAGTGATATTATACATAAGATTGTGAACTCTTATTGCATTGATCAAACCATCTCTTTTTTAAATCATGTCTCACAGTGTACATCAATTTTAAAGGTAGTTCTTGAACGTTTATTATTTATAAATGAACATGATTGCAATGAATTACTTTTAAATGCAATGGTAAATTATGCTTTGAAAACCTTACAACATTGGTCATCATTGAATATGAACGGATTAGATATTGAAAAAACAGTAGAAAATGTGTTTGTTGAAACAAAGGAAATTGCAATAAATTCTCGATTATGTAATTTAAAGTGTATCATAATAATTCTGTTTTCTAAAAAGGAACAGCTTATAAATGAGATTTTACTATGTGCTCTTAATTTATCTATTCATGAAGAAGAATATGCGAGACGTATAGCAGTTGAACTTGTGCAGTTTTCAGTTTATCGCTTTGCAAATTTATCTAACAATAATAAGTTAATAATTCTACAGTGTTGTTTAATTTTATTAAAAGATGAAATTCTTGAAATACGTGAAACCATCGCAGAAAGTTTAAGAACACATGTTCTACGAAAAATTAATATGAAATTTAATAATTTAGAACATGTTGAATATATATATCAACAATTATTATCTGAAATCATGCTTTCTGAGATGACAAGTAAAGATATGAAACTACTTTTTGTAAAATTATTCACACATAATATTAAAAATTTCGAAGTTAATGCATCAATTGAAAATCCGTTTTATCATGATGATAATCCTTCTTACAAAGAAGATACGAAATTTCTAAATTTTTGCTTTTATTACGTACAACAAAAGAAGTATAATTATGATAGGTGTAATAAAATGGAATATGATAGCGAGAACATTATCAACATTCTATGCAAAAAGGAAATAAAGCATCAGTTTCAAAATAAATGTTTTGATGACATTAACTTAGAAATTATTTTAAACACTAAATATGTAGATTATTTATTAAGGAAGCAAGAACTTGTAATACAAGAATACAGTTAATAATAACTGTACATTTACTTTAGATTAAGTAAATGATAAGCAATGATAAATATTTTGTAATTGAGAATTAACGATTCTTATCAAGGAATCTCAAAATAAAAGCCTTCTAACCCATCAAAGTATGCAATAGATATTTAATAGTCCTGAATAAATACATCTGTACACCTTACGTTCATATAAATGTGTACACATTCACAAAGATTATAACTTCATATTTACATTATACTACATTAACTGTATCAGAATATTAGAAAATTTTGAAAGATCCTAGAATACATATTATTATACATTGCGAAATTCTCATTTTTCAATGTCCCACTCTTTACATTGTAATATATACTTCTTTATATCTACAGCTTATATCTTATACCATAACGGGATATCGAATACGATAAATTTGTTTTAAGAAACTTCGTTTTCTTTTAATTCAAAAATTTTGTTAACTTTTGTGTCAATAAAAATTATAAGATAATGTAGGTGTGCTTTGCAAATTTTGTTGTGAATTTTATGCAAACGAACTATTCGATGATATATAAAATTACAAAAATTCAATTTTAAAAACATCTGGGTACTATTGTAAGTAAATTCATTTATTTAAAGAAATTTTTATTTGCCGATGCTGCGCATCGTTTTTTGCTTAAATGCACTCATAATTAAATAAGCATCGAAGCAAGAAATTTGCTTTAAACACACGAAAAAATATTGTTATAGAACAAAACATTTATAAAAAGCAACATTCTTCTTCAATCATGAACCATGAAAGCTTATATTTAATAATATATTCGAACACTGCGCTGTGCTTTCGCGTGTGAAAGATTTGTATACACTAAAGCTATAATAATTGAACAAAGCATTTGATGAAGGTGGATCAGAGCATAACAACAGATTATTTTGAATCGAATAGGTTTAAAAATTATTTTCTTTGTACTAGTACATAATCATATTTAAATACCTTATCATCACTCAGGTAATACTAAAATTAAAGTCTTATGTATGTTACTTAACACTTTGATGACCGTATATTTTATGGCATCAATGACTTTTTGAGAAGACTACTGAAAGAATTACATATATCTAAGAGTTTTTATTATATACGCCAAAAGGTTAACAGCTTTCAAATTGAAGGTAATATTTTAATACAAAACAAATAATACTGATGTAAAAAGTTGCATAACCAGTCGTCAAAGTGTTAAAAAACAAATTCAAATTTGTTACTAGCTTCTGATCATAATACATTTTTTGTTTCTTTATTAACTACTTGCTTGGCGACATGATTCTATCAACTATTTGATTCGCTCCATGATATGTCGCTAACAATTACAGTAAATTTCTTTGGTGATCACTTCTATTTACACTGATGTTTATAGTAATAATTTCTAAAGTGTATCTAATCTTACAATCATTGTCACGAATAACATATTTTTGTTTGTTTTTTGATAAAGAAATCGTGCGCACACGCTTGCAAGTGTTTTATTATTATTAAATAGTATACTCTACCTAGACAAACATTAAACTAACGTATGATTAGTATTGCTATTAATAGTAAAGGTAGATGTATCTGTGAAATTATAATTAAAATTACACTAATTTGAAACTTAACATTCTACTGTAACAAAAATGATTGGAAGTCAATATTTCTTGACAATATTTTCTAATAAGTAATCAATTTGTTTAAATCGAAGGATATTTTCATATATAGTGCCTCTGTTCCACTGAGTGACACGATTTATCAGTTTCATATAGTATTCAAATAAAAATAAGTTAATATTGTTCATTTACACTAATATTTTCTATTAACACTATTAAATAACTTTTCGAAAATAGATTCAAAAAAATTTTAAACACATTTATTCTTTTCTGCGTAAGGATTTCACCAAATGAAAACTCTTCAATATATTTTTTTATGAATCAAATACTCCCTATTTATAGGAGTGCAGAAGCTTGTGCTTGTCGAGTATAGAAGCACCGTTATTTCGTAATACGGTCAATTTTAGTATACACATTACATAATTTTGCACAATAGAATTGTCAGGAACCATATTTTTTTGTATACAAGTGGATCGAGTATATAGCAGCAAGACACAAAAATATATTCTCTTTAATGTGATATCTTTTGTAGCACGATTTTTAACCCCTCAAATTTGTCATTCTACAAAATTAATAAAAACCATTTTCATTATGATGTATTTTGATAAAATATTAAATGTGTATTTCATTAGAACTTGAACGAAAATATATCTTTATTTTGAGCATTACTTTCTTAGCGACAAATGGTTTAACACGCTCATTGTTATTTTGCATATTTTAAGTAAAATAACTTTACAATGAACATGTTAAACCTTTGATTGTTGATACTTTTGAAAATGCTGTAAATTTTATTGCAGTTAAAGTAGCTAGTATTCCGAATACTTACAACAGTGACACAACGGAAAATTTCTCTTTCCTTATTTCTTTTTTTCTATTTTTATGCAAAATAGAAGATTGTCTGATTTTCAATAAACTATGATGATATTATAATTATTATAGTGGAGCTATATTATTTATAAATATTAATTTTGTAAAGAAAAACAAAGCGAAAAGGAAAGAGAAAAATGTTTTCTTCAATTTTCGAACTTATATTTCTTTCTTAATACGTCTAGGAATGCAATTGGTATAAATACAAGATTTTCATCCGATATCAGAATCTTATGTAATTAATTTTTGAACATTAAAGTTATTTTAGCAATATTCTACATAAATAAAATATAACTAAGTAGTAATTCAATTTACAATTTGTTTCATTTATGTTCTTTTTAGTTTAAATCTAAGTTTCGTAAATATATATTATTTCAACTTCTTATAAATTCTTTATAAAAAATTAAATATTGAGGTCATAAATTGACACAAAATGCATGCAGAATTAGAAATTAATACAAACATAGAAATATTCTAATGACAAAACATTATAATAATATGTAATTAATATTTGAGCGCGGGTAAAAAATCGTTATAATAATGAAACAATCACAAAGTACCTTGATTATTCACATAGAAATTGTCAATAATTTTCAATATGTATATAAATTTTTCAAACTATATCAATTTTTGTTATATTTTACAATCTTAATTCTTCGTTTTCTTATTAATTTTTAAATCTTCCTTCATTGGAAATAAGTAATTTTGTGTTTAAATTACTTTCGTTAGTTAAAATGGGATTTTAACATCCCTTATGTATACCTAGAAATATTATATACTACAGAATACAAGCAGAATTAAACAGAATGAAATATATGTTTTCGTGCGATTACATAAAACGTATATCATTGAAATATTTGATACCTGTATTTAGATGCATAAATTAAATTTATTTTTCTAAGATGATGCGTTAAATCTTTCTAATGGAATCTCACTTTTTTCGTAGTGTTTAACAAAGACCCCATTTCAGAGACATACAAAATATGTTACATTAAAAATAAGGCTAGCTCAACAAGTTCACACACTTTCTTCCATATTAATTTATCCACATATTTGTTACATGGATTTTAGTACCATGCACAAGTTTAATGAAAATTGTTTCTTGTACTTGGTGTTCCTAATGCAAAATTGCATTAGCATAGAGCAAAGTGATAGAACTAGGAGTAAAAACTGTAAATAGCAAACTGAATTATAGACAAATACCTTTTAGACGATATTATCGATGTTCATAGTGCCTGTAATTATTTTTTTCACGTTTGGTATTTAACAGTATAGTCATTTGTTATTTAGCCGCTTGACCAAGGCCTACGGATGATTTCGTTTTTTGAGACGACTCTGCTGATTCATTTGGTTGATCGACATCCATCTAGAATATATATAAAAACGAATTAAACAGACGAGATATTACACCATGTTTAAATAAATTGAACAGAAAAATATTTTACCTTTTCTTCTTTTTCATCATCAATTAATATCGGACCATTTTCAGCCTCGTATTCTTTTAAAACTGCATCTAAATTATATCTTCGTCGATAGTTCACGAAAAAAGATCGTAAATGTGCTTCTGTCTTAGTTCCAATCACATCAGCAATTGCTGAAAAATCTTTCCCATATTTTCTAACGCCTTGAACGGCCAACAACAACTCATCGTTTGTCCAACGGGCATTTATACGACTCGATACTTCTGGTGGTCGTAAATCATCGATACCATCGGTAGTTTTACGTTTCAATGCACTTACTTGTTGTTTGTTCGATTGTATCTGTGCAATTAAAAATTTTACTTAATAAAAGCAAGTCTTCTAACGCAGCATTCAAATATATAAATTGTTTTAATATTTCATATTAAAAAATTTAAAAAAATGTATCCACACGTTTTACATTACTCTGGTTTAACAACATACTTGGCGTTTTAAGCTAACAATTTCGGTGTCGATCGCTTGTAAACTGTTGTTCGCTTGATTGGGCTGGCCAGCCAATGCCGCTAAATCGTCATGATTAACGACTAGACCACGAGGTGGTTTTCTTTTATTTGTACGACCTGGCATGGAACTTAATGGTCTTGCTACACCGGTTCGCCTAAATAATCATTTGAATAAGTTTATCATGTATTCTATCACTTTATCAAATCTGATCTACAAAGTACTTCGATTTCACAAGTTCTGTAAAAGCATTAACTGATGCACTGATAAGAATGCTCATGCATTCTTATGAAGATACGTGACAGTAACATTTCATTGCTGAGCGTCTAAAGATCACTTCTTAGGATATCTGTGCAGCATGAACATTCTTATTTTGAGAAAGGGACTGCTAACTTTGTAATTACTGGTATTTAATTTGACTTGCACTCACTGACCTCCAGTGCAGATAGCAGCTGTGACACGCGTGTCCTTTCGGCGTCGCACGAACACTATGACAAGCAACGCCACAGTTGCTACACGAGCCCTACAACATATAATGCCCGTTTAAAACAAGATCTAATAATTCCCCCCACCCTCACCCTCCATTCAAACCTTTCAACAATATATCTTAACTAATCTTTAGCAATAATTTTTTGCAATAAAAAAATTATAAAATATATACAAAAGTACATTTAAAATTCTATTTTAAAAATCTTAATTTTGCTGATTGTAATAACTAAATACTTTTTATACTCCATTTTTTCCTCAGTAAGGTTTCAGCCTCTCAACAACTCTACTACTTAGATTAATTATCTGTATACAATTTGTGTACTTTTCTGCCTTTTTTTTTTTTAAATATCTTCTCGTTACAATAAAAAACAATGCATATGATAGAAAAAATAAATACGAGACATAAAATAGCAAAATATAATAAGCATACTATGCTATGCAATTGGGTAAGGTTTAGGCTGAGTACCTGAACCTGAGGGGCATTTTCCGAGTCGGATGGGGCTTTGGCGTCAGTGCCTTGGCTTCCTGGCACAGCTTGGTTCTTTCCACGACGTATTCCGCGGTGGATCGTCCATTTCTGGAACGTTCCACATTTACGTTCATACACGATATAACGATGGTTCAAATAGCTTTGTATAATATAATGTAGATTTTTCGTTAAATAGTTTAGAAAATTCTTAACTATATTATATTGCAAAATTCAAGTAAAAAACAAAGTTAATGCCAGTTTCGTATTAATAAAGATTTCAATTTTTTTTAACGTTGACGAATCGTAGATCAGTATTCTGATCATTTTCATCCTATTTACCGCATGGAATACGTTACTGTGTGGATACATTTTTTAAACGTATACAACTGCATATCATACATATGTTTTGAAGCCAGTGCCATGGCATTACAATGTAGCAAAAGGAGAATACTACCACACGCAATAACACAAATATTAATTTTACGTAAAATAATTAAATGGAAAAAGTAGTAAAAGCTTCTAAGTTTATAAACAATTAGACAAGCAACTAAAACAAAATTATTATTTTACTTTGATTCATAACATAATGTTCGTTTCTCTTTATTAAAATGCTGTAAAATTATTTTTATGTAGTATTATTTAATTTTATGTTATGTATAAAATTCTAAGTACTCTTGTACAGAGAAAGAGAGAAAACTAATTCTTTTGTTTACAAACATCAAATACATGCATTTGTTAAATATTTTGAAAAAACGTCTTACTTTTTCTTCTGATTCGCTGTCTGTATTGGAACCCAACTCACTTCCATTTTCACTACCATTTTCTCCTTCTTTACCACCACTTGTTAACTTTCTTGCTTGTCTATCCATTAATGATGTTCTAGTTCGTGTTTTCTTCCAGCTATAATAATACTTGACAAGACTGGCAATAGATTTATCAGGTAACTGAAAACACATTGTAAAAGTAATTATGATATGCATAACTCCAACAGTATTTTTGAAATTATAATGTAAAAAACAGGGCTTACCATTTGTCTAATACGGTGGAAACTCTTTCCATGAAATTGAAAAGCTTGTTCAAAAAGAACTTTATCCTCTACTGTCCATTCATCCGGAAATGGTGTAAAATTAGCTAAGTCTAGTACAGCACGTTCTAAATTATGTTTGTGCCAAAATAGCATTCCTAAAGCTTGTTCTCCATTATAACCATATTTTTCCTTTGCTAATATAATGTATTCATCCACTGTAATAAGTTATTCCCTTTTTTATTGACTAAATCATGGTTGTAATTTAAAAAATAAATTAATAAGTATAATTTTTATTTACATTTTTGATCTGGTATATCAGTAGTAGGAGACCATACAAGCAATGCTCTATCAGGACATTGATCCAATCTTCGTTCTAAAATATAAAATCCATAATTATAAAAGGAAAAATGGGTTTAATAGTGTATTCAAATACTTTTCCTTTTAAATGTCACTTTACAATATCAATTGTTTTTAAAGGAAACACCACAATTAAGATGTAACTTTTTAATTATTCATGATATAATTAGTTTCATTAAGATAACGTACCATTAACTGGAACAAATTCTGGTACAATAACTTGATAATCCCTTCCAACACGTATTTTTTCTGCTGGAACTTTAAAAATAATTTATATATAAAATATTAACAGAGATAAAATAATACTTATATTGCATAAGTGTTAAATTATTATAATCAAGTAAGAATTACATTGTATTTATTTTTGGTTTATAAATGTATGTCTTAAAATATATACAAATAATTTAAATATATAAATGTTTAAATATTCAATTATACCAGTCTATTTCAATTAAAAAATCAAATATCATTAAACAAATATTTAAAGATAAAAAGTTAAATAATTTCAACGGGAGTTATTTAAAATTGTTTCACACAAATATTCGTAGGAATTAACTGAAAATGAAAAGAACTTAAAAAGAGGAAAAGTGGGGCGCGCTGTTTGAAGATCCTTACGGATTTTCGCATCGGATCAATATAAAAATATGCAAACTTTCAAATAAAAATTCAATTTTGAGAATTCTATTAATTTAAAACATATTAATTAAGGAATTATTTAGTAAGTTTGTATAAATCATAAAAATAATTTAAATGTAACATAAAATTGATACCTCCGTCTTCTTCGCTCGATGATTCCGTCTGTCCATTAGGGCTGGGGCCCCTTGATCTACGACCATTTCTAACATTTTCGGAATTTCTTTCTGCTAAAACCATTTTCTAGCTTTCTCTCGACTAACGATAAACCTAATTATTACGGTAGTAAAGCTTTTTTCGCACGAAAAATCGACGAAACCCGCAATGCAAGCGATAGCTTGCAACTACTCCGTACTCCGTAGAGTCTGACTCGCGCTTCGTGCGACCGTAGCGAAAGTAAAATGGCTGCTTATTGAAAGTGATCTGATTGGTTAACGATTTACTGAATAAAGATGGCAACGTACATTTTCAATATATTTCGAAATTAACTATATTTTAAAGAACAAACTTTACAATTCGTTCTGTTTATATTGTTATAAATAAACCTTATCAATAAATTTACATAATTTATTTTAACGAAAAAGTATAACTTTAATCTATAATTTCCGATATTAACATAAGAAAATTTTATATCTAATAGTACTATTAAGTTAATAACATTATATAAAAATGTATAATATTTTAACTTAACTTTTCATGTTATTACTAAATAAATAATATCCTCAGTATGATAATACTTGGTATTAAATACATGGGTACCTGTAATTATTTTATCGTATCGTGAAAGAAAACATATGCACTTGTTTTGATGATCTACTTCTATAACTATAGATAGAACACGTCAACCGAAGACCAAAACAAGCAAGATTGTTAATAAATAAATGTCTTGCAGTTATGTAATTGAAGAAAGTATAAATTTGAAAACTATTTTAAACTAATTCTGCTGTAATACGTTCTTGATCCTTAAAGTTCTGTACGTCATTATTCAGACGAAGTACATCCTTATTTAATAGAGTACATAAAAAATCTGAAACAGTACATATAAGTATACGTAAAAAATAAGAAAAATTATAACTGATTTGGTTCAAGTTATATCGTAATCAGTAAATTATAGTATAAAATCAGATTGAAATAACGAGACATCGATATATTTTATACATTGATGATGTCACGAGGTATGGTCATACGAATTATACCTGAGCATCTCTCAAAAGGAATATCAATTTTTACATAAAATGTATAGTATTTTAAATAATACATCATACTAATAAAAAATATAGTTTGTACTGAAACCAATACAGAAAATAAACTAACTTAATAAGCATTACAAATCATTGTCAAGTTAAAATAAGTTATAACCTCAATTCTAAGGTTTACGTTAAAAGCTCTATCGCCGAGAGGCGCCACTATCTAGCAATCGCAGTCTCTGATAGACTTTGCCGTGTAAGGAACTTTCATCGCCTATTTAATGTAAATATTACATTTGTTGAGAATTTAGAGTTTATTTTAACGTACATAAGTTCGAAATTATCGTTCACGGTCCCTGTACAATTCATTGCCGGCCGTCATTCCGTAATATTTCTCATCTTGCTGAGTTCGGCAATAACCAAAAAATCTCTCCGTAGGTATACTTTTTTCCTTAATAATCACTAATCTTTTTCTCTAACATCTCATTAAAGTCAAATTTTACGCTTCGCTTCACTAAGTTTGCTGCTTCTTTAAAAAGAAAATCTGAATTTTGTCATGATTTTTCCGAATTATGTGACATTTACTATTTAGAATAGTACAGTGATTAATTTTTGTTCACTAGCCAATTGTTACAAAGTTAAGTTGAATATTCGGTGTCTGCTTTGTGTTTATCTATTGTAGGATTTTATTTAAATGAATGACATGTAATTTCCTTTTCTTGGAAACATGATGAATTAAGGCAGAATAAATAAGTAGGTTTTTAAATTTTCTCAAATATTGTTGGGGAAGAGTAATGCTTAAATGGTATTATTTTTAAATTAGACTATTTAAGAAATACAAGTGCATATGTATTTCGTAAATTTAATTTTGGCTTAATATATATTTGTAAGCAGTCTATACATAAGTAATCCTAAATATATTGTGTATATTTTCCTATAATTATGTTGTTTTACTTTATATTTTTTTGTTGTAAGTACTTATAGCTCACATTAATAAAAGTTTTAAGAACAAAGTAATAAACCTGTATATTCTGTCTTTACTTCATTAAGTTATTAATTTGTATTTCTAAGTATATTTGTACATGTATAGTATAAGGCTGCAGAAGTTGTTTGTGCATTTATATGCACTAATACATATATGTAGTATCAGAAGAATAGTTGTTTGTAATTTTATTTGTCATTGTTGCAGTTAATTTAAAAGGTTTATTATCAAATGGTTTTTTTAATTATTTGATTGCAGATGATTATCTGAAAAAATATATTTAGATTCTTCTATACTCTAAGCTATTGATAAGTTATAGAGATTGTGACTGTAAATCAGAAACATGAGGGTTGTAGCACTAGTCAGTGGTGGAAAAGATTCTTGCTTTAATATGATGCAATGTATAGCTGCAGGTCATGATATTGTGGCCTTAGCTAATTTATACCCTGTTGGGAAGGGTAAATAATTTATGAAATATTATTTAACAAAATATTCCATATATTTATTTATAAATATATTTTTATCTTTGTATATTAATAAAATATATCATCTTATTGGTTGATTAATGAAACAAATCATTTCTAGATGAACTTGATTCATTTATGTTTCAAACTGTTGGATATCAAGGTGTTGAATACATTGCAGAAGCAATAGGTTTACCAATGTATCGTGAACCAACATTTGGTAGATCAAGAATGCAAGAAAAATATTATTATCCAACAGAAAATGATGAAGTTGAAGATCTCTTTAGGCTGTTAAGTAAAGTAAAGGTAGATGTTATATTATCACATGACTGTTGTGTGTTAAAGTTACATAAGTAGATGAAGAGTGATTAATTAATTTATTATAATTAAATTTTAGGAAAGAGAGAATATAGAAGCTGTTTCATCAGGAGCTATTCTAAGTGACTATCAACGAATTCGCGTGGAAAATGTGTAATTATTTAATGCAAATTTTAATAAAAATTTTTGAATTGTACAGTATAAGAAAAAGTACCTAATAGCCAAAGTTTATTTTCAGATGTGGTCGATTAGGTCTTGTTTCTTTATCATATTTATGGAGACGAGACCAAGATGAATTATTAAAAGAAATGATAGGAAGTTCTGTGAATGCAGTTTTAATAAAAGTAGCAGCTTTAGGCCTTGAACCAAGGCATTTGGGTAAACCAATTTCTGAAATGCAATCCCATCTTGCCAAAATAGTAAGTAAAATGTCTTGGTGATTAATTGAAGTGAAAAAACAATGTTTTCTGATTTTATTTCATATTGGAAGTACTCCAAGTATCTAAGCAATATATGTAAAAGAAATTTAGTAGTATAAATAAATAGATATAACATATGTTAATGACTTAATATTTATTTGCAGAAAGAAAAATATGGTGTAAATATCTGTGGTGAAGGAGGGGAATATGAAACCTTCACATTAGATTGTCCACTATTTAATAAAAGCATTATAATGTAAGTTAAGAAAACGCAAATGGAAGAAAAAAATGTTTCTAAATCTTATTACACTTATTTTGACATGCGTTTGTTTCTTATTTTAGAGATGAATATGAAAGTGTAATTCATTCAAACGATAACATAGCGCCAGTTGGTTATTTGAATTTCAAAAAAATTCATGTACAAAACAAAAATGTGAGTTATGATATCTTCTATTTTTAAGAATTTCTCCAGTAAACTTGCAAATTATTAAAAAAATATATTTTTTCTAGGGTGGTGTAGAAGGATTATCGTTACAAGAAAGATTAAAAAATGTTCCTATTAAATCTCCATCTGATTATATCGAAGAAATTATTGGTCCAGAATTACACGATGGTTGTAACCTATCGGAAGACGAAAATGATGAACATGATTGTACAGATAGTAGTCTGAAGACTTCAAATTCTGGTACTAATCTCAAATAAATACGAAAATTTGTTTTCCGTATGACAAATTTATAAAATATGTAAAATTAATGTAGGTCAATTTAATCCACCGAGTCCTATGCAAATTTTATACGAAGAAGAAGATTATCCCGATGTGCCCGTGGTAAATAGAAATCAAACCGGCTGGTTCTGGTTTGGCGGTATAGCTGGAAAACATCCAGATGCTAAATCCGCGATGCGAGAGGCACTGGAGAAATTAAGCAGTAGGTAAACTTTAAGTCTTTTAAACTATGTTTTAGTTATTTTTTGTTCTATCCAATATCAATGTATCGTATGCTTTATGTAGATTGATAAAATATTTCTGTCCGCTTTTTTTTTTTCTTTTTAGATCTAGTCAAAAAGGAAAATCTTCAAATATCGGATATCGTTGCAGTAACATTATATATAAAAGATATGTCAAATTACATATCTATAAATGAGGCTTACATGTCATGTTTAAATAAAACAAATCCACCAGTTCGCGTATGTGTGGAATGTCCGTTAAATATACATGTTGTTCTTGATGCTATAGCCTATAAAGAAACTCAAGACTGTGGTGATAAGAAAGTTCACAAACGACATACAATGCATGTTCAGAGCATAAGTCACTGGGCACCTGCAAACATTGGTCCTTACTCTCAAGCAGTTCGTGTGAGTGTAATATCGTTACAAAAGAATTTACGTGAGCATTCTGTGTGTATATGTAGACAATATGTGTGTATGTGCGCATTCGTACGCGCACGCACACACATCTGGTTTACAAAAGAAACACATCAGTGAGGTAAACAAAATAAAATTTTTCTAAAATGAAAATAAGACCTTAAATTTTTAATAAGTAGTATAAACAAAGATACGAGCATCAGTACTGATCATGTATATATGTGTATATTTTGTATATTAAAAAAAAAAGGAAAAAAAAACAGAAAATAAAATATCTATTCTGTGATAGATTTAAAAAATAATGGTAAATGAAACAACTTCGATATTGCAAAAAGTTATTGTTGAACTAAAAGCTATAATTTTGGAATAAATATTTGTTTGACAGGTTGGTGACATTATCTCAGTTGCTGGACAAATACCCTTGGTGCCTGGTAGTATGACTATTTTGGAATTAAATATTAAAAGGCAATGTCGTTTGACGTTAAGGCACATAGATCGAATTGTTAAAGCTATGGATTCAAATACGCAACTCAGGGATATTGTGCAAGGTATTTGTTTTTTAACTCATTCTAGTTACATACCAGACGCCCGAAAGGAATGGGAAAAGCGAACAAATAATGCCATCGTGGATTACATTGTTGTTCCAAACCTTCCGCGTGGTGCTCAAGTTGAATGGTGTGTTTGGGCTCATAGAGATAATAATAGATTTGAATGTAAGTACACGTAGGTATATGTGTGCATATACGAAATAGTATATTTGAAAATTTTTATATTACAGATGAAGAGACTGGAAAATGTGTAGGTAATTTCAAAGTGGCAATAAGACGTAGGTGGAATTATGAAAATAATGTTTCAGCTATCGTGTGTTATATGTCTACTGGTACATATTTTTATTTAAATATATTTTTCCTGCTTAAAGATATACAGATGTAAAAAAGATTTTATATCTTGATTAGGTTCATCCAACTCGACTGGTAATTTAGCCACGGAAACAAGTTTGCCCTCTGCAGAATTAACTGTAAGCGAATTAACGGAGGCATTTGAGTATGTGCTGTGCAAACTTACAAAAGGATCGCAAACCATAAATCCAACCTGTAATTTACGAATCTTCTATAAAGTCGGTAGTTCACCAGGTCCGAACTTTGTTCAAGACGTTCTTTCTAAATTTTCTACACGAAATTTAGTTACTACTATTATACCAGCAACACACTTACATAATTTTAGTACTTTCTTATCCATATGTGGTATTAGACACGAGTAAAGCCTAATAACAGTTTTTACGTTGTCAATTATTTACAAAGATTATTGTATTGCAAAGGAGTATCGTAAAAGATTTTATTTGTCATTTAAATTATTTTAATTAGTGGATATGAGCCAAGGTCAATCAATTTTAGTATTAAAATGGCAATTATTAATGGCTATAGGAAACTCGACCACGGTTGTAAAACTTTATATATTCGAAATGATAATTATTTAGTAGCATCAGTGCTCGAATATAAACATTATTTTTCACCTTTTCTACTGGTCGCTTGTTGGGTTTACTCAGAATTCACTTGACATTTGTCAATAGTGTATTTATATTCGGCTAGTCAACGGGACATTCGTGACTTTGTCTCGTTAGTGTAAGTGTTCTACGTAATGTAAAACACGTTATGTCATCTCATAACGTGTACTGTATGCTACGCCTCGTTTTTGCTCAAGTTATTTTTTATTTTTCACAATTTCACGATACGTGCGGAGTGTTAAGTGTGTGATTTTATGGAAGAATTTGAAAGCGTGCACAGCCATTTTTACAGTAGCGCTCAAAGCAAACTGAATTAACAAAAAGTTACCTATCAAATGTAATTAGAGCAATCTATAAATTTTAACAACAAATATGAAAAGAATCTAGTTTACGTTCTTTTCAATTTTATTAACAGAAAACTGAACCGACAAACGGGAATTTAAAAGCACTTCTTGACGATCGTCTACTATCACTTTTAAAATGCTGCCGATGTTATTCCGCTATCATTTAAACTTTGTATCGTGATGGCAGGTATGTAGCTTTACAGAAGACAAAAAAAAAGTATCTACTTCGCAAAGATATTGTGAAAATCCTCGGTAATTTCTGTATAACTGATCTGTGCTCTAGGGATACATCTTGTACAAAAGCGATATATGCTATTTATTAGAATATTTTTGACAGTATAACATTCATGCAATGATATACCAAAGTTTATATTTTGCAATTTTGTCATTGTTTCGAATTCAATATTGTCATTTTCTTTTCTTGTACATATTACTAAATAATGTAAACATTCTTGTAATATATTATAAAATGTAATTAGTTTTGAACAAGAAAATTGGTTATTGATTATGTATAATTGTTAAGAAAAGGTATGAAGAATTTCTGATACGGGGAATACACAGCATACTGTTCACGACATGGAAGCTGCGTTACTATAAATATGTAAAAAAGATATTTGCAAGTATGGAGCTCTCGCAACAAAGTACTATTCCGAGGATTATATTGCAAAAGAAAAATAAAGAAAGTGATATATATTTTTAAGAAACTGTTTTGTTTCATATTTTATTATACCTTTCCCCCCTTTTTTTTTAAATGTATGTATGTATGTATGTATGTATTAATTATTAGCATTTTTTATAGAAAATGTACAAGTAGAAAATTGTTTGAATTATAGAAGTTTCAAAAAATGATAATTAACTTAGATAAGTGTAAATATTTTAGAAAATAGCACTTTATGTACACTTGAAAAGAAGCTTAATATCAAAAATTACAACAGAATTCATATGATTTTGTAAAGCAGTCTTTCCAATTACTTAAAATTTTTAATTTACCTATAACTGATAATATGTTAAGAAGATAAATTATGAATACAGTTCGTTAAAAAAAGTACTAATTATTTCATTTTACAACAATACGTTAAAAATTAAGGTTTTCATCAAATAAGAAGATTATTTATACCTTAAACTTTTACGTATAACTAACAATAACCACCGTTTTATAACAAATATTTACATGCACGTTCTTTTACACAGAAATTTTAAGAAATAGTTCATGATAAATTAATCACTTGAATCATTATAACGCGCTTATTGTTCGTACAAATTTTCTATTTTACCACTTTCTCTACACGCACGAATCACATTTTATAGTTTTCACATTCAAACGGAAACTGTATATTTTGTATTTTTTATGTTCTTAACGTTTTTGATATTAATGGCTTTATCATGTGTTGACGAGTGGGTGTGCAAAAATCACACAGATAATTTTTCCTGTCTAATACCACTCCCTTGGTCTCCACGCAATCTGTAAATAAATGTCATCTTATTAAATTATCATATCATTTTATGTTATAAAATCACCTACTCTTTACATGTTACAGTACCTGAAAATATCAATACATCTTAAATATTTGAATTACTTGTAGAAGAAAAATATCCGATGAAACATGCAAATGCAAGGACATGCAATGGATAATAAATAGCGGAAAGTTATGGAATTTGTGTCAATACCTAGGTGCAGATATTTGTCACATGCGCTGCAATGCACTAGATTCGCTTCCAGGTCGAGTCGTGGAGCAGTATGACAGCGACTGCAGTGCGGGCAATAGCGACCCTTTCGCCATAGCCTTGTTATTGCACAAAGATTATGGTGTTAGTGAACTTGGATAATGGCTTATTATAATGACCGAATTTAATGTAACTTGTAACATTCTGAATCTTGGGAATTTGATCATTATTTTATACATAAAATCTAAATATCAATTACATTACATGTCATTTTTTAAATCCAAAGATTCAGATATACATATTTTGATCCAGTGAGCACATAAAATTAGTCAAAAAACTTTTATAAAAGAGGAGTTTAGTGTGGATTAAGGGAATTCTGAAGCAAAAATTAAGCCCCGTGAAAATATGTATTGAATCACATTTTCACTCATCACATTACAACATGAAAAACCGAATATCTACTTACTTCGAGCATGGAACGCATAATGTTGAAACATAAACCCTAGTATTTTTGTCACCCTTTTTGTATTCATGTTGCCACTGAGCTACACTGTTTCTATCGGAATTAATACCTCCAGGTTCTCTCGAGGCACAATTTGCACAAACTGCGCATTCTTGACAGTGCCATCTTCCTTGGGGTACACGACGTAACCCAACACAATAAATATGATACCTAAATGATATTAAACATTATACAATCATAGATTATTATGTTTCACTTCTTTTTCGAAGAATACGTACCCTCTATCACACATGTCGCAGAAAAGCATTTTATCTTCGTCGGCAGGATCATGACACTGAGCGCAAGTTTTACAATCTGTGCATTGCCATGCGTATGATTGAATGTGAGGAACCATATCCAACGTTAAATCGATACACGACGGATGAACTGTTAACAGATCGTTATTACAATGTTCATTATAAACCCATAAAAGATAATGCTAAAGTTACAACAAAAATAAAATGATTACCATGTCCATTGCAGGTACCACATTGAATTAATACCTCATTTTTACTCTGTTTGTTCAAAGTTTTCAAACACATTTTGCATTTCAACTTTATTTCTTCTTTCTGATGTGCTATCTCCATATCTACGTCATCCATCGTGGACTGAGATCCTTCCGTATTCTGTGTTCCTTCGCTAGAAGACGAGCTACATAAAAAATACACAACTATTCTTTCATAAGAAATATTAAAATATTAATAGTTTGAAATGATAACACGAACCTCGAGTCATCTGAGGATGAATCGCTGTCGTTGTCACTTTGAGATCCTTCCGACTGGCTATCAAATTTACGTTCGTTTGGCCTCGTAGGACCATAGAGGACCGTATTCAAAGGATAATATCGCAATTCGGCTGGTGTATATTCGCGGTAATAATCAGTATATTGCCCTGGTATTAAAGCGACAGGATAATAACCAACTTTACGTTCTTCAACTTTTTGTTGTTTCTTTGGAACGTGTATCGTGAATGTTTGTAAATCTAAACTACATTTTCTATCTTCTCGGCGAGCTTTATTTAAACGAATGTTCCAAGACAACGCAGACTGCACTGCCATTTCTGCTAAATCAATTCTATTTTTTTCTGCAGTTGCAGCTGCTGTTAATTCTTTTTGCTTTTTGGAATGCTCTTTTACCTGTTTCTCACGCATATGTTTACGATATTCTTCATACTGATCAGGAAAATCGCTACACATTACATCTAATACTTCTGAACTGCATACTGCAGTTAAACCTAAAATAATAATGAAAAAAAAAAAAAAAATTGTAACTCACGCAAGCATTTATTGATAACTAATACGGTAAAAATATTCTTACCCATATCACACATTGCTTCACTAACCAGTCCATTTTCTCTCAAATAATTCCTTTCTTCCATATCTACTACTCTTCGCTTCAAGTCTGGGTATTTTCTTTTAAAAGATTTCACACCAAGATATTGAGATATTTGTTCTTGTATCATAAATGTTTCACCTTTACGATCGAGCGGCCATTCGTACTCGGCGATTTTATCAACAGTAAATGGTCCTTCATCTGGATCAAAATTAATTTCCATTCTGCGATTCTTCACTTTTACTTTTTCTGATTCTGTTGTTGCTGTGCTAAGCACACTTCCTTGAGATTCTTCATTTATAATAGTTTCAGATGCTGTAACAATCGTTACGACGTTGAAGAATATTATGAACCGACGAGAGAGGAAGTTATTCTCATCACTATGTTGGTAAAATATGATTAAAAAACATTGTACTAATCACCATGGTTATAAAATTCTGTACAAGTTAAATCAAGTACATTTTGCACTTGTAAGATGTTAAGACACAAGAAAAGATCTATTTATAGATACATTGCTTGGAGGTCTACCAATACATTTATCTTTTGATTTAATATAGTCATATAATAATTATAGATCATAATTGCTTTTTACTATTGTGATAAATCAATATGTTTTTTCTTTAGCAAATTATTTAGAAAATATAACTCAATAAGTACATGTTAACAGGATACATCATGCATAGTCAAAGAATACTTAATAGTATTCACACATAAATAAAATAAATAGAGACACATATTATTCTATGTATCTATACTTCTTCGTAAATAGTGTAAGCGTTAGATATAATAAAATCTGATGCAGAAATACATTGCTAACTAAAAAAGAAAAGTTTATTTTAACTTATATTTACCTTGTACAGGAATATTTCTGGCAGGAGTTTGAGATCTAGAACCTGATTCCGCACTCATTCTTGTTTCTTCATCTATTACCTGTACCGTGGACATATTTTCATGTTTCGTAGCATTCTCAGACGCTCGTTTCGATACTGGCGTTAACCAATTAGGATGTCCTGGAGGTATCAATATATCCCTATTTTCCGATTTTGTACCATCTTCAGTACCAGATTTCACGCCAGATTTTTGTACTTTATCAGGTACGATTTCCGTTAGTTTCTTATTCTCTGATTCTTTATTTATTTCAGATAATTCATGTGTACCTTTGATACCATCACTTTTTGGTCCCATTTTGATTTTAGAAAGGTTGGCTTTAGAATCTAATGTTGGTTGTTTCAGAGCTTTATACAATTCTGGTGATTTACCAAATGATTCTGACTGTGATACAGAATCATCTATCGTTATTACTGCCGTTGTAGAAGCTTCTATTGTAGTTAAATCTTGATCTATCCTAACTTTCTTGGACAGTTGCAGGTCTACGTTATCCAATTTTCGTTTTCCTCTACCTAATGAAGGACAGAAAAAAATATATTAGAATATATTCAACATTCAAGTCAGTTAAAAAATACAAACCTCTTCCTCTGCCTCTTTTAGGAGGTGCATAACTTTTCTGACTCCTACAAGTCCTTTTAGGCCTTTCATTTTCTCTAGATTCAAAATGTGGTAATTGCGATTGTTGCATTTTATGCATATCATCCAAAGACAAAGGATCTCTAGTCATTAATAATTGTGGGGGTGGATGGGTGACACCTTGGGGTAATGGATTCCTCCTAGGTCTACCCCTCTTTTTAGGTACCTTTACTTCAGGCATTCTAGTAGGAGAAACTTCCTCTATTATTACAACATCCTGGCTAGAATTTGAATTTTCATTCACTATTATTAATTCTGGTCGATGTTCTATAATTTCACAGTCAGAATTCATCGGTGATCCAGATACGTTTTTATTAGATAAGATGTCCTTTAGCTTCTCGCTCATAGTGGCATCTGCTGGCTTCGATGGTCTGACTTGAGTAATACTGATTTCTTGACTTATTACGTTCATTTGCTGAAGACTGATCGCGCTGCTTTTCGGGTCAAACACGAACTGCTTCTGTTCCTTAGAAGCCACAGGCTGAATTGTAACTTCAGGTAAAATTTGAGTAAGCTGTGCTTCCAATTTAGGCTTTTTGGATTCTATCGGTGAAATGCTGATATCTTTACGTTTATTAGGAGATATGTCAAGCATACCGTCCGCTTTCTTTCCCTGCGTCTGTATCGGTTCAATCGTTAATTCTGAACGATTGCTCTGCAGAATTGTCGAGTGACCAGTTTTAAGGATCTTTAACGCAGGTTCTTTATGACCAACACTTTGCCCAGATTCTTTATATCTCTGAGTAAAATTCTGAGATAAATCTAAAGCTTCTTTTTGTTTGTACGTAGATTCACCTTGATTGTCATAGGCCACAATTGTCGGATGTCCAGTTTTGGATAATTTGATCTTCATCTCCAAGGGTTCAATGTCTTGACGTCTTTGTTGTCTTTCCTTCTTCTCTGAATCTACTATAGAAGCATCTCCAGTTTTTAACAGCTTTATTTTCATACCTAAGCTAGTGTCAACTGGCTTTGAGTGTTCCGTGTCTGTTCGCATTAATTTGTTCCCATCTTCCACTGCTTCAGATTGTATAATGGAAGCATCACCGCTCTTGGAGAGTTTGATCTTCATTCCAAGAGGCGATTCTGTCCTTCTAGATGCTTCTTGAATAAGTTTAAATTCTTCTGACTGTTCTTCCTTTTCTGCAGGTATTATGGACGCATCACCATGCTTGGACAGTTTGATTTTCATACCAATAAGAGATTCAACTTTCTGCCAGGACTCTGATGTGGTCTCTATGGGTTCATCCACCGATTCCTGCGAAACTACCGACGTATCTCCTGACTTTATCACCTTAATTTTTATTCCAGACATCTCTGACGATTTCCCTCCATCCTGAGTTACATCAATCTTTTCCCTGTTCTCTGCTTTCTCTTTCTGCTTCATGTCTTTAGTTTCTTCAGCGAGTTCTGAGTGAACAATAGACGCGTCGCCGCTCTTGAATAATTTAATCTTCATTCCAAGCGGCGATTCCGTTCGCTTAGGAGTATCGGTAATTTCTAATTTCTCCTTTGAATCTTCTGGGATTTCAATTGGTATTATAGCAGCACCACTTTTCGTTTTTGCCAGTTTTATTTTCATACCAATCGGAGACTCGGTTCTCTTTGGAACTTCAGGAGACGATTCCAATTTATCTTTGAATTTACTCATTGCTTTGCTTTCTTCCGACAAATCTGAAGAAACAATCGAGGCGTCCCCAGTCCTCAATAACTTGATCTTCATTCCCAATGGAGAACCAGTTCTCTTTGGCGAGTCGTACGAAGAATCCAATTTCTCTTTTGGTTTTGGCTGCGTATAATCTTTGTTGTATTCTTCCAGATGTTCCGACCATTCTGGTTGTATTATCGAGGCATCCCCGGTCTTTGATAGTCTGATCTTCATTCCAAGAGGAGAGTCCGTTCTCTTCGGTACGTCCTGAACGGATTTCGTTTCTTCGAGGTGTTCCTGCTTGTCTGTAGTTATTATAGAAGCATCACCAAATTTAGAAAGTTTAATTTTCATACCTATAGGAGATTCAACTTTCTGCCAAGATTCTGGTACAGTTTCCATGGATTCTTCCGAAGATTCCTGCAACACCGTTGACTCACCTTTCCCCTTGTTTTCTGACTTTTCTCTTTGCTTCGAATCTTTAGCTTCCTCAGAGACTTCTGAGTGAACGATAGACGCATCGCCGCTTTTGAACAATTTGATCTTCATTCCAAGAGGTGATTCTGTCCGTTTGGAAACATCAGGTACTTCCAGGTTTTCCTTAGAGTCCTCCGAGGTTTCCATCGGGATTATAGAAGCTCCTTCCTTTGTCTTAGTTAGTTTAATTTTCATACCGATTGGAGATTCGGTTCTCTTTGGACTCTCAGAAGACATAACTAATCTATCTTTCATTTTACATACCTCTTTGTTTTCCTCTGCTAAACTGGAAGGAACGATCGAGGCATCACCGCTCTTGAACAACTTGATCTTCATTCCTATAGGCGAATTAGTTCTTTTAGGAGAACCATAAGTTTCCAATTTCTCCTTTGCTTCTAAATGTATATCCTTATAGTGTTCTTCTGAAGTACTCTGCCCCTCAGAGGCATCTCCACTTTTTGAGCCCTTCATCTTCATTTGAAGGGGAGATTCTGTCCTCCTGCTTCCTTCGTGAATGGATTTCGTTTCTTCTAGGTGTTCTTGCTTTTCTGTAGGTATAATAGAAGCATCGCCAGTCTTAGAAAGTCTTATCTTCATACCAAGGGGAGATTCAACTTTTGGCAAAATTTCCTGCGGTTCTTCCATCGACTCCTCTTCCGAATTAATCAACCTTAATTTCATTCCAAATGATGTTTCCGACCCTTTACCTGTATTTTGGATCGAGTCAACTTTTTCTTTGTACTTTGCGTGTTTATTCTCGTCCTGAATCTCCGACTGAATGATAGATGCGTCCCCAGTCTTGGAGAGTTTGATCCTCATTCCAAGCGGTGAATCAGTCCGTTTAGGAGTATCAGGGGCGTCCAGGTTTTCCCTTGGATCTTCTGACTTATCCATTAGAATTATAGAAGCTCCCCCCTTCGTTTTCGTTAATTTAATCTTCATTCCAATAGGCGACTCCGTTCTCTTTGGAGACTGAGATGATTCTAATTTGTCTTTTATTTTACCTGTCTCCTTGGGCTCTTCGTGGAAGTCTAGAGGAACGATCGAGGCATCTCCGGTTTTGAACAGCTTGATCTTCATCCCTAAAGGAGAATTGGTTCTCTTAGGAGTGTCACAAGATGCAGCCAATTTTTCTATTGATTGTAACTGTGCGTTATCATGATGTTCTTCTGTAACCACATGCCTCTCTAGTTGTGCTATGGAGGTGTCTCCACTCTTTGAAGTTTTCACGTTTGATTCAACTGGAGATTCTGTCCTCTGAAGTGGCTCAAGAACAGACTTAGTTTCATTTGATTCATCCTGCTTTTCTACAGGCATTGCAGTTACTTCATTAGGTTCAGAAAGCTTTATTTTTATATTAATGGGTGGTTCAGTCTCCTCTGAGCTTTCTTCTGTGGTCTCCATGGATTCTTCCACTGTTTCTTGCATACCTTCAGATGCTTCTTCTACATTTGGTGTCTCTACTTTTGTTACAGGTGAAATCTCTAATGATTTATCAGCATCTAAATCAACATCAACTGTTTCCTGATTATCTAGTTTTTCTTCTTCACACCCGGGCAATTCAATTTCCATTTCCTCCGGGAATTCTGACCACTGAGAAACCTTAGCAACTTCCAATTTCTCCTCTAAACATTGTAAATTTTCATCTGATATTACCGAAGCTTCGACCTTAGTTTCAGTCAATTCAGAAGGTATTTCCAAGGTGTCCTCTGTTTTGGTTACTTCTTTGCTTTCCTCCGACAAATTCGTCGAAGCAGCTAAACCTTCTTCGTTAGAAGGTTTAGAACTTTCTTCGTCAGATTCCATCTTTACCTGTGAATCAGTATCTTCTAATGAGTTAAAAGAAGCTTCCAATACCTCTTGCAATTCCGCTTGTTCCTCTGGAAGATCTTGCCCTTCTGGTTGTAATAAAGGAACGTCATCGCGTTCTGACAGTTGAACTCCTATTTCAAACGAAGGTACCACTGCATCAGGTACCTCCTGAGTACACCTAGAGTCTACTGACTGTTCTTGGTTCTCTATAGGTGGCATAGACGTATCATCTATGCCAGAAGTCTCCATGTCAATATCAATGAGCGATTCGACTTTTTTCAAAGCTTCAAGCATAGTTTCTATAGATTTTTCCACTGGTTCCTGTTCGTCTGTCGATGCCTCTTCGGATAGAACCGATGATTTTTGTGTATCTTCAGTTAAAGTAATCTCTTCTTTTTGCTTCTCAGGTTCATCCTGAATCTCTGACTGAACAATAGATGCGTCATCCGTCTTGGGTAGTTTTATTTCCATTTCAATTGACGAATCAATCTGTTTGGAAGCATCAAAAGAGTCTTGATTTTCCTGGGAATCCTCCGATTTTTCTATTGGTACTCTAGAATTTTCGCTCTCCATTTTTGCTAGTTCAATTTCTACCGCAATTGAGGATTTGGTTCTTGGCGGAGATTCAGAAGACGACTCTGATTCGTCTTCTATCTTATCTCCTTCATTGGCCTCTTCGTGAAAATCTACAGGGTCGTTCGATTCATCTTCGGTTCTGAATAGCTCTAAAGGAGAGTTAGTCTTTTTCGGACTGTCAAAGGATGATTTTAATTTCTCTTCTAATTGTAACTCACCATTATCTTCCTGTTCTTCTGTAACAGACTGCTTCTCCAATTGTATTGCTGAGAAATTTTCATCCTCTGAGACTTGGATATTAAGTTCAACGGGAGATTCTATGCTTTTAGATTGTTCTGGAAGAGAGTTTGTTTCTTCTGCCTCGTCTTCTTTTTCTATAGAAACAATAGGCATCGCATCTGTTTTCAAAATCTTTTGGGTGATCTCCATGGAATCTTCAACCGGTTCTTGTACTTCTGCAGCTGTTTCTTCTTTTCTACCTTCGTCCTCGTTTAAATCTACTCCAACCGTTTTCTGGTTATCTAGCTTTTCCTCTTCCTTTTCAGCCTTTACCTCATCCCCATCTTCCAACTGGATGATGGATTCATCCTCATTCTTGGATAATTCGACTTCCATTTCAGCTGGCAATTCTGATTGCTTAAAAACTTCAGGAACTTGCAATTTCTTTTCCGGATCCTCCGTTTTTTCATCCGAAACTAAAGAAGTCTCGTTCTCCATTTCACTCAATTCAACGTACATCTCAGTGGGAGACTTAATATGTTCTGGAATTACTTCTTTACCTTCCTCAGGCATATCCCTTGAAATGGCTAAATCGTCTTCATCGTCAGATACCCTAACTTCCATCTGTACAGGAGATTCAGCACTTTTTTGTGAATCATACAAACCTTCTAATGCCTGTTGTAGTTCTGCTTGTTCATCATCTCCGTCCTGTTCTTTCTGAAGATCTTGTATTTCTTGCTGAACTGAAGGACCATCTCTGCTTTCAGATGGTTCAGTTTCTATTTCACTTGGGGATATAAATGGCTCTGGTGTCTCTTCGGTACATATAACTTCCTCTGATTGCTCTTGCGTTTTTACAGATAGTAGAGCATCATCAGTATTAGGAGTTTCCATGTCTATGTCAATTAGCGATTCAACTTTCTGCAAAGCTTCAAGCATGGTTTCCATTGATTCATCCACTGGTTCTTGCTTATCCATCAGTGTCTCGACTGAATTTATTCTCGCTTCAGATACTTCCGATGCTTGTTGTGCATCTTCAGTTAAATTAATCTCTTCCTCTTGTTTCTCATAGTCTGGTTCGTCTTGAATCTCTGGCTGAACGACAGGTGTATTATCAGCCTCGGTCGAATCGATTCCCAGTTCGAGTTGCGAATCAACTTGTATAGATTCTTTAAAAATGTCAGAGTTTTCCTGTGAATCTTCCGACTTTTCCACCGGAATTACAGAATCATCTTTTGTTTCCGCCAGTTCAATTTCCATTCCAACTAGAGACTCGCTTCTCTTAGAAGACGATTCTAATTTGTCTTCCATTCTATCTATAGTTTCAGCCTCTTCGTGAACATCTAAAGGAACGACTGACTCGTTTTCGATCTTGAGTGGGTTGATTTCTATCTCTAAAGGAGAGTCAATTTTCTTTGGGCTACCACAAGATGGTTCTATTTTGTCTTCTGATTGAAACTCTACATCATCTCCCTGTTCTTCAGTAACAATTAGTTTCTCCAATTGTGCTGTTGAGATATCATCTTCTTTTAGGAGTTGAATATCAGGTTCAACTGGAGATTCTATCCTCTTAGGTGGTTCTAGAAGAGAACTGGTATCTTCTGATTCTTCTTGCTTTTCTATAGGATTGGTAATGGCCTCAGACATATCTTCAGTTATATTTATGGATTCTTCATCTGGCTCTTCTACACCTGCAAGTGTTTCTTCTAATTCTGTTACCCCTTCTAATTCTGCTAAATCTATATCAACTGTTTCCTCACCGTCTAACTTTTCTTCTTTCTTAGGGTCCATAGTTTCATCCAAATCTTCCGACTGGATGACGGATTCGTCGTCATATTTTGGTAATTTGTCGTCTATTTCTGTTACTGAATCTGACTGGTTAGAAACTTCAGGAACTTGCAATTTCTCCTTCAATTCTTTCGTATTTGCATCAAAAACTAACGAGGTCTCTACCTCCGTTTCCGTTAATTCAATAAGCATTTCAGTGGGAGATTTGGTAGTTTTTGGAACTTCAGGCAACAATCCCAGCATCACATCTGTTTTGATTACTTCACTACTTTCCTCAGGCATGTCTGCTGAGGTAGCTAAATCTTCTTCATTATTTGGTACCCTATCTTCCATTTTACCAATAGAATCAGATCTTTCTTGCGAATCACACAAACTTCTTAATTCCTCTGGTAGTTCTGTTTGTTCATTGTTCCTGTCATGTTCCTTCAAAAAAATTTGTGATTCTGGTGGTATTAAGGCAGCATCTTTGCTCTCAGGAATTTCAATATCCATTTCAATTGGAGGTATCATTGTTTCAGATGTTTCCTCTGTAAACAAGTCTTCATCTAATTGTTCTTCATTTTCAGGAGGTAGTATGGCTGACTCAATGTTAGAAGTTTCTATGTCCATGCCAATAAGCGATTCTACTTTTTGTAAAGCTTCAAGCATAGTTTCCATGGATTCTTCCACTGGTTCTTGTTCATCTAACTGTGTTTCTCCTGTGTTTATTAACTTTATATTATCCTCATTTAGTAAAGCATCTAATTCCCTTGCTTCATCTGAAACTTCAGAGTGAACACTGGGTGGGTAGTCACTCTTTGACAATTTCATTTCCATTTCAAGCGGCGATTCTACCCGTTTACTAACACCAGGAACATCCATATTTTCGTTTGGATCTTCCATGTTTTTCACTGATATTACAGGAATTCGGTGTCTATTTTCACTACAGCTGTAGTGATTCAGAAATATCTGAAATATTGGACATGGCGAATTCAAATAGAACAGCAATAAATGGAAAACTTACCGGCTTTTTACATTACTCCTTAACGAACTATTTTACACACAAGAACCTACCACACCGGACGTTTGTTGGTCAAAACATTCTTCAAGCAGATATATAAAACCCACAATTTAAATTGGGGTTATTTTTATATGTGTTTAGTTCGTTTAGTTACATCAACTATAAAGTTTTGCAGGTTCTATTACCAATTCTTGTTTGGTTGCTTCCTGACGGTTCGCCGCTCGAAGAGGCATCTGTTTCTTAGTGAAAAGTAACTAAGGGATAAATTTAATTCACACCGACATGATACCATATGTACAATTCATTTTAGAAAAGTATGCAAACATATTTGTTATATTCTTTACAATCTGTAATTGTATCGATTGTTAAAAACAAAAAAAACAATTTTTCACTGTCATTGCAAACTTACATGCAGGGGAAAATCAAAATTACTAACGATTACATTGACCATGAGAAGTGGCTTCAGTGCTGCCACTACAAATCAATTTAAAATATATAAAATTATTGTATTTATTTCAAATGACTACATATTACAAACATATAACAATTATTTATTTTATCGGTCGCAAAATATTTTTAGCATTCTTTTTTACCGATTTAATTAATGTTTGTAATTCTGTATTAGGTTGCATTTTCGGCTCCTTTGTTTCTATTTCCTAAAACGATTAAGTAACATATAATGTATTAAAATTACTGTATAACGTACTATAAAATAAATTTTTACTTACATTGTTTAGATCATTGTCTGCTCTTCGTTTTAATTTTTCTTTTATTAAGGCTTCTGTACCCTTCGTTTTTCTAAAATGCGGATCTGCTGGATCTAAATTGAAGTGATGTGATGTAAACAGCGCATGAAATCGTGAATCTTGAACATTTACTTCAAAGTTATCTTCCTCTGTTTGGTCTTGAGAATTTTTCTTTTTACTAAGTCGTTTTTGCTTAGACTTTGTCATTGTAGCGTTTTCTTCAATCTTCTTCATATTGAAGTGCCGTTTACCATCATCATTTTCATCCATTAACAAAAGTTCTAACTCCGCTTTTCGTCGTTCTTCATCATCATCTGATGAATTTGCACCACCATTCTCTATGTCTTTTGTCCTTCTATGACCTGATTTATTAGTTTTAATTTCCTTCTTGCCATTATCTGTATCTGAATCCATCATTTCTGAATCGTCCGAGTTTGTAGATGCATTTTCATCTGCATTTCTAAGTTTCTTTCGTTCTTCTCGTTTAGCTTTTTTCTTTGCCTTACGTTTTTCCAGATACTGTTCAAATGGTGTTAGATTTTCATCTTTCTTTAGTCTTTCTTGTACCAACTTTTCAGCTTTCTCCTGTGTTCCTAAACCCCACGTAAATTCTAACTCAACGTCTTTATTTTGCTTTGCTTTTTCCTTCTCTTCTATCTCTTTCAGTAAAGCCTTATATTTTTCTACCGCATCAACATTTGTTTCCGCTTCCGAATCACTTTTTTTTTCTTGAGATTCCTTTTGCTCTTTTTTATCTTCTATTAATTGAAAAATATAATAATAAAACGTAATTAATCACTTAATATGAAATAATGGAGTAAAGATTATACCTGGATCAGAATCACTATCAGTAGCTAAATAAGCTTGTAAATCATTTTTATTGATTTCATCTAGTTTTCCAGAATTTAATTTCTGTGTAAGTTCTATTCGTTCGGGATTTGTCTCATCCCAGGTTAACTGTACTTGAACTTGTTGTAGCGCTGTAGTTGTAAATTGTTTCGGTTGATATTTTGAAAGCTCTGGTAACTTATCACATACTTCTCTGGGAGTCTTAAAGCAGGCATCTAAGGTCACATATAATGAATATATTTTATATACCTTAAGATTAAATAACATACCTGATCAAATTCCATGTCATCTGGTATAAACCTAAGATCCAACCTTGTTGATGTGGATTCATACTCTGTACCATCACATTCAGTATAAATTTTGTTTGCTGTTTCAGCAGAATCAAACTCAACAACAGCATAATAATACTTTAATCTATTCAATTGATACTGTCTTAATTTTTCCATATGATAAGTCGATCCTTCTTCGTTCTGCGAGATGAAATTATTGAATTATGTTATTAAATAAATAAATAAATAAATATTTATACCTCATCATCATCATCATCATCATCATCATCATTTTCAATATTTCCTTCTTTGCTCAGTTCTGTTAACTCTTTAGGACCATTGATATCTTCTTCTTTCATTCTTTGCTTACCAAATTCTGATGGATAGATCTGAAATTATTTTATTATAAAAACTAATGAAAATGCTGGTATCATTACCTTATTAATTATTCTTACTGTGACTGACTGAATGAAACCTCCACTAGGTAAAAATGAATTGAATAAAACCATTAAATCTACAGCATGTACTCTATCCCAATCCATGTTGCAAACTGCTAACCTATGTGTACTCTCATTTGTTGTTTCAGCCTCTTTGTCTAATTCTCCCCAATTGTGGTCAATCTCTTCCTCATCTAAATATAATATATGTTATATACATATAGCTATTTAATCAGTTATTAAACAAACACTAGTTAATATAAATATACATTACCAGAAAGATCTGAACTTTCTTCATCAGAAGAACTGTCTGTCAATAAAACTCCTTCACCCCTAGCATAGTTTACACTTAAATCTTTTAGCTTCTCTTTAACTCTGTCAGTGAGTTTATTAGACTCATGTTTTTCTCTAATCTGTAATTGTTTTTTACTTTCTTTTAAATCAGCCTTTAAGCTGTCTACATTTATGTTGTCTGCATCAGATTCAGATTCAGATTCATTATGTTCTTTAGAATCTGTATGACCTTCTTCTTTTGATTTAACATGAAGCAATTCTCCCTTGCTTGAGGAACAATTATCTGATATCTCATCATCATCTTGATCATCATTATTTATGTCATTATCTGTATTATTTTCTTCAGACTTAATTACATTATGTTTTTTATTCTTTTTCTGTTTCAATTTCTTAGATTTGCCCTTTTCCAATGACTGTTTTAGTTTCTTACCCTTTTCTTCTTCTTCATCTTCATCATCTTCTTCTTCACTTGTAGGTAAATCATAATACTTCTTCAGGTTTTCTGAAGATGTTTGACCTATAGGTCTACCTCGTTTATCAATGGCATAATGGACCTGAAATCTTTTGTCTTTAAACATACTCTGAAATCTTTTATCTATTTGCACTTTTCTTTCTGTTTTTGGGATCCTTTTAAATTTAGGATCCTTTGCAATGTGTGCAAATCGTTTATCATCTAATGGATCATCCATGCTGCAATACATAAATAATAAAACATTGCAGTTTTATGTATTTCTTATTCAACAAACTTTTATTTTATACTTACTTGACTGGTATTATAAAAATTTGCAACTGAAAGATATTTGTACAGTACAATACAATGCACTTAAATGCAGTCTTAAGATTTCCTTCAACTTTAAGGTTGTTAATATAACCTGATATAACTCATGTGCTAATTGCTATCAGTGACTACAGATATAGAAAGACTGGACATGTTTTTGTTCTCGAGGGGTCATGACTTTCAGGGGTCCCATACACCCCCACACGCTCCGAGGTAAACAGAATCCTCTTTTACCACAACTCGCACTGACAACTGAAAATACAGAATTCTGATTACCTTTATGCTTATTTTATTAGAAATCAGTTAAAATCAGAACAAAACCAAAGAATTATTAAAATATTTATTTGACAAATTTGTATTCACTTCGTGCGCCTTGCCAAATAAATCGTTTAAAACAAAGCAGCCGAGTTATTATTTAATTTACCCAATTACAAGAAATAAAATTTGTATAGAAGAGTTATGAATTAAACTTGCTATAAAAGATTCATTATTACATACATTTGTCTAATAATTTATAATTTTATCCTAAGGAATGCAACAGGTTAGTACCTGTTTACAACGGAAAGAGCCACTCAACTTCATTCCCGCCAATTCCGACATTGTTTATTAAAACCATGTTTGACGCATTTCTGTGATCGTGTTTTCGTAATTTTTCGTATTCTTTGTGACATCACATATATTTTTAATGCATTTTTACATAATAATTCCCTTCCTTTTTTAGAGACACATGTAAGAATTGAAATATTGTGTTTATACGAAGAGGAGTAATGGACATTTCACGTTCCATACTTAAGTAACCACTATTTTAAAGGAATAAGTTCATTACATATGTTTAAACGAAGATTTCTTCGTTATATGTAAGAAATGAATACTCCAACAACTAGAGATTTTCTACGAAGACCAAATGGAACACGGAGAAGATCGGTCCGGCAAGCTTTGGCCGTGATTCCTGTCAATAACACTGAATTATCACCTGGTATGGTTTAACGATCTAAGTTTTAATCAAGTACCTTATATTTATTTCCTTTAGTTGCAATTCGCGTATTTTAGGAGAAGCCATTTCTACTGAAGTTAATGCAATGGATAATTTTTTAAATAGTCGACAAGGCTCTGATTCTTGGAGTCCTGCACCTAGCCCCGATGAATTGGTTATACAGAAGCGCGGACGTCGTTGTAGGACTATTGTTTGGTCACCTGATCTTGATACTTGTAAAAGAAATAGTCTATTCAGGTAAGAGAATATATAAGACTTACAAAATAATCTCTTTTGAAAGCAATTATATAAAAATATTATTAAATTTATAACAGTTTAAGTTCTAAAGATCGTACTCCAGTAAAGAGTCCTTCAAAATCAACTATGGTTTTAAGAAGTACACCTAGGAAAAGACTTATTCTTGGTGATGCCAATGAGTCTGAATTTACAACACCAGAGAAAAAGAAGAAATCACAAAGTTCATTAGATAGTAACAGTGGACAGAGACATTATACTGGCAATTTATTAAATGGCCTGAGAGGTCTTAGTCATGAACAATTAGTTCAAATGATTATGGATTTGGTGTCTATGCAAGAAGATGGTATTCTACACGAAGGAGAAAAAATATCCAATCTTTTGCTTAAAAAAATGCCGGTTGCAGATATACAACCATTAATTGATACATTAAACAATTTAAAACAAAATATTCGTATTAGTATGATGTCGTCTAATTTGGACGATTTAGCAAGTAGTCATGCTTATATTCATTTAGATGCTTATCAGGTGTGCCATCCTCAATCATCACCAAGTCATTATATGTTCAATTTTATCCTCCCTTGTTTAAACATGTATCTGTTTTACTGTAGAAAATTATCATAGATCAGGGAAAGAGACTTGTAGAATCACAGCACTGGATGTCTGTAATGCATTACGTGTATGCAGCATGGAATATTACAAAACAGATGAAAGATTGGGAAAATAAGAATCTTTGTAACTTCATGAAAAAATGTTTTAAAAATTTGACACACTTCTGCATTCAAGCATTAAAGAAAGGGAACTACACAAACAGTGTATTGGATATGTTTTCCGACAGGTATTAACATCAATACTAACGATTACTTCTTTTGCTTTTTACTCTGTCTGTTATACCTATATTTTCTTTTTAGGCTTGCTGCTATGGTCAATGATTATGATGACATAATAACTTGTTTGGAGTTGATAAACGAAGCAAAACAGAATTAAATTTAAGCTTTTTTTTTCTCGGTCGTTGATGTTAAAGAGGCCATACGTATAAATGTTAACATACATCAATGTATATGTATGTTTTTAATATATACATAGATTTTAATTTTAATGTTTGTGATGTGAAGAGTCGGTAAAGGATCCAACAGTTCTTATTGGTAGATCAGTCATATTTGTTTTTTTTACCGAGTCGGTTTGTGGTAATTTTCTAATTTGATCATGAGATTTACACAATATGGTATTAATGTATTAGTCATAAAATATTTAAGACCTTTCAATGATATTTTTATACTGTAATATTGCAAATAATTGCATTATATTTATACCTGTGTTTTGAGATGCTTGACTTTTTTCAATTTTACGGTGATGATTTGCATGTGGATGGAAATATCGTTAAAAAAGGTGCGGTGTTGTTCTCAGTACAAATTAACTTATTTTTTTTTTTTTCTGATAACTCAAAGTAGTGGACGAAACTACTTTTGATTTTAAGATATTTATAGAATTTGTATCGTTCCTTAACGTATCTCGTGTGTATTTTGTTAATATTATCGGACGATTACTTACTTCGTTAGTATCGTTGACTTCGTCTGTACATTTTCATGACAATAAACGCAAATATCAGCATAAATGATTTCTATTAAAAACAATTTATTCGTCATAATATATCATGCATTCTTACATAATATATCCATTATTACTTCTTGAAAGGCACATACTTTATTTACGAAGTGAATATCAGAAATGTTCTGAGGCCGTGTTAATACCTTTCAGATATCTGTACACATTTTTTTAACAGTACAATGACGCGCTCAGAATCTTTCTAATCTAAACATTTGAATCTGTCCTAGGCAATAATTATTAATTATACAAGTCTAGTCAAGTGTGTGTTAAGTCATTTTATTGGAGATTCTCGAACCATTGGGGTGGCATTGCTCAGAAAAGAAAGAAAAATATGAAAAAGAAGAAACGTTTAAAGGCATTCGTGTCATTAATTACCATTATCGTAATTCTTTACAATTTCTGTTCGCGCGTTCCTTAGAAATTGTTTTAAAGTGCGTATTGGCAAGATTATACTATACATCCTTAGGAACATTTTCGAAATCCGAAATCAATCAGGTCGGATTTGAAAAATTCCACTGAAAAATAAACGTAACAATGCTCGTAACAATAATTTGACTTCATCTAAATACAAACATTTAGGTGAAACAAATTAAACGTTTCAAGTAAAGTTAAAAAATCCCTCGAGGATTAAGAAAGGATCATTTAAAATGTTTTACGATCTTTTTCTTGACTAATCGTGAAAAGAAACGATGTAAATTGATGTACAGCAATTAAAATTCAACATTTGCAACTAATTAAGATTATTTTTTAAAATAATACCTCAACTTCAAGAAGAGAAACTGCTTAAACAATCTTCACTTCAATGAATACCGAAATAAAACATTCCAACCCTGAATTATCGCAGATTGTTAATCTAAAAGCGGGATTACCACAAATAATAAAAATCTCATTTTGTACCGTTTCATTGAAGGAACTGACCAACGATAAATAATTTTGTGGAACATCGGAGTCGTATGCTGCAAATTATTCTAGTTAAAATTAGCGAGTACCTATTTCATTAATTTTTTTCTTATTCTTCTCCTAATACGATTTGTGTTACACATTTTCGAAGATGTAATACGGCGAGTGTGAGAGCAATCAAACTTTGCGCGTGTTGTTTAATTTTAATATACCGCTCGTGCTAATTAATTTACACTCTAATCGTTCGTCACGCTGAGTTATACGATTCTTTCTCAAATACGAACGAGTGGTCTAACCCTTGAACCCTTTGGTTGAGGATAACATTGTGTGATAGTCGCAAATCGACTGCTTAAACTTGATAAATAATTTATTTAATACTTAATCTAATGGTCTCAAGGAAAGTTTGTGTTTTCTTGTGATTGATGATTGTGTGTACAAGACTGTTACAATTACATTTACAATTACATTTACCTTCTTCAACGTACCATTCAAAGGTTTGTGTCACGATTGACCTGGTGCCACCAGTCGAGGGTTAATATTTAATCAGTCGATTTTCGACGTGTATATGCGTTGTCAACAGCGAAAGGGTCAACGAGAATAACTTACAACAACCCATGATCCGGGCTCGTTTAGCAATATGCAATTTCATCTTACAAAATATAAAAAACCATATGTATATATATATAATATATATATATATAGAACATTTTGTTCGCTTTGTTCAGGATGACAATGGGGCGCGATTAAATAAGATAACGATTCGTGACGCGACGATGTAACTATGATACTTAACAAGATAAAGCTGCGAATCGAATACTGTGGTAATGAATCGTCGGATATCGCGAGTTCGCTGGCCGACCTGCGTCTCAGTCCACTTTAGCCGGTTGCACCCTTGGATACAACTAAAATAAACAGTTTAAAATACCTATAAAGGATCTATAGAATAAATGAGAAATATTTCAGTGAGTGTACAAGGATGCATCTGAAATAAGAATAGAAGATCCAGTGAGTTTGCTTAAACGATTATTGTAACTTACGCCAAGTAGATTCCGAGGTACGTAGCCTTCTTTGTGTCCCAGTTTGCTCCACCACCACTCCCTCTCGTTGTCGTCCCCCTTTCGAAGCACAACCAAAGAATCACCGTTTTTCAACGTCAGTTCATCGCTGTGCTGTGCCTCGTAATCGAACACCGCGTATACTTGGCCGTTGTTCATTATACCGAGCTTCTCTTGAACACCTGTAACGATGTAAAATTTACCCCAACTTCTCCAACGAATTCCAAAGATAACACATGTTACATCGTTGTTTATACTGACTGTACAAGTATTCTGAGCAGCCATCGAAGCCCTCCTCGTCTTCTTCGCACTTCTCTGCGGCTGTTTCGTGATCTGAGAGAGTGGTGGCGAATATACAAGCTCCATGCTCCACCAGGAACCTCACCATCGACAGATTGTTACAACTTGCGGCACAGTGCAACGGGGTCCTAAGATAGAAACGATTTCAGCGATGATTTAAACTGTAGGTAGGTAGAATGTAGCAAAAGGGATCGGTGTGACTGAGAATAAGCACTTAGCTTACCAGCCATCGCTGTCCTGGGCGTTCACGTCGCACCCGAATTCAACGAGAAACATAACAATCTCTAGATGACCGGCGCAAATAGCATTATGAAGCGCCGTGATGCCTTCGTCGTTCGCTGAACTAGGATTCGCCACCTCTTTAGCGGTTTTCTTCACCAGTTCCAGCTCTCCTTCGAGGCTGGCGTCCAACAAAAGAGCCAGAGGATCGAAGGACACCCTCCTCGAAAGATTTGCTTTTCCTGTACTGGACTTTAGATTCCCTTTCTTCCTCCTCATCACCTCGTTGCTCTTTCCGTCTACTTCCAGTTCCGTTGTTCGTCTCTCGGAATCCTTCTTTGCCTTGTCCTCGATGTTGATGACGTTTAACGCGTCGATGATGTCTGCCTCTTCGAGCTTCTCGTTACTGATAACATCCTCGTTGATCAGCTTCTTACAATTGTCCGTCGTGTCGATGATCTGTGGTTGCTGTTGGGTCTGTTGTTGCTGTTGCTGCTCCGTTTGCATCAGGTCAGCTGGAATTTCGGTCTCGGGGAAGAGGAACGCCGGTGGCATCTCAATCCGTCGGTTTATCGACACATGGACATTCGACTTGGCGTAACGCAGCTTTGGTTGCTCGGAGATCGGGGCCTTCTTCAGGGTCAAAGGTCTAGCCTTGATGATTTGATGGTTCGCGAATTGAGTCTCCGTGGGCGATTCAGGTGGTTCCGAGGTGGGTATCGGTGGTACTTCTTCTTCCTTCTCTGTCCTGCGGGGGATTCGTCAAACGCGTTAAACACGTAAACATACACGTAACACTTAAATGACTAAACTGGGACAAAACAGAAGTAATTCTGTGATTTAATAGACCGCTTTGAAATACGAGAGAACCCGTTTAAAGTTTTGACAACCATGACTTTGAAGGACCGTTCAACTTGTTCGAGTTAAAAGTTCTCTGCCTGAAATGGAATCGTTAGAAAGTGCACGATTTATAATTATATTTAATAAACACCTCTACCTTTTTTCAAAATTAATTAGGATCGATTATCCGTACTTCCAAACTTAAACTTCAATTTTCTACTTCACGATAGTTAATTGATATACAGAAGTTTGAAAAATTTCTTATTGTTAGCAAGTTGAACGAGTTAATTTGTTGTTTTTTTTTTTTTTTTTTCGTTTGAAGAACGAAAAGCGCGCGGTTCGATCGCGGCAACAAAAAGAGGAAACGAGAAAACAAGAAGTTAGATCCCGCCTCGATCGTTTGGATAGCTCCCGAACACTAAACTGTTGTCTTCACGGCACAGCCGTCGTTCTATTTCGGTGTCTATTATTCGAGACAGGCTTCGATTCACTGGCCAAATCGATCGCGGACTAATTAACATTTATAATTAACCCGGTAATCGTTTTGTCATTCTGTGCCCGAAATCTCTTGCTCGATCGTTCGCTTTCTCCTCCATCGGCAACACGCTTACTGGCTACGTAACTCGCTCTCGAAATTCGTCGAAAGGTGAAGTGAAAATATAGAGGAAAATTGTCCTAAGATTTTAATAACTAAACACTTGGAATTCTAAGCCAGAAGGGAAATTAAGAATCTAGATTGATTTCGGGAACGTTCACAAACCTAGGACTGATCCCCATGTTATTCTTGCCATCTCCAATTCCATCCGCAGCGTCCACTTTTTCATGATGGGTCAGTCTCGGCGGAGGATTAGGTTTGCTCGGTTTGGGAGGTAGCGCAGGTTTCGTTTTATCCTCTCCTCTTATCTCGTTCAGACTCTTCCTTTCGTTCTCGTTCTTCAGCCTATCGAACTCGAACGTTTTATCGGACGCCTTTGTCGGAATATCAAACTTTCCGTTGTGCTCGTGCTTCGTGGTAGGGCCCTGTTCGTACTTGCTTTGACTATTATCGAACTTCACCGGTTCCTGCTTGAACTGTTGCCCAGCAGTCTCGTACTTATTCGATGGATCAAGTTTAAACGGTGCGTTGTGATCGTATTTTACAGAAGGCCTCACCTCGTGCTGATCGTGTTTACCGTACTGTTGAGTATTCTGATTGGGATCGTACTTAACCCCGTGAATTTGCTCGTGCTTCGTTTGCTCGATCTTCTCCTTGTCGTATTTGTTCGTCTGATTACCAGTCTGCTCGTGCTTGTTAGATTGCTCGTAAAGTTTCGCCGGTTGATTAGCCTGCTCGTACTTCCCGTGTTGATCGTACTTTGGATGCTCGTACTTCATCTGATGAGGGTCGTACTTGAACACCGTGTTAGACTCGTACCTCTGCTGTTCGTGTTTAGCTGGCAACGCGTGTTCGAACTTATCCTGACCTTTTCCTTGCTCGAACTTCATCTTGTCGGTCTGTTCGTTATTAGACACAGGGCTGGTTAAGGGTTGCGTTTGGTTATACCTCTGGACCGAGTTACCGAAGCTACTTCCACCTGATGAGGTGTGAATCGTTGGATTGTTAGGTGGATTAGGTGAATTTTGAGACTGATAGACCACCGAGGAAGATACGTGCGTGTTCGCTTGGGTGGAGTGCTGTTGGATGCCAGGATAATTGTGTCTGGAGGCGTAGGTTTGCTGTTCCTGATTCAACGTCTGATTGCTCGGAACGGATTGATTAGACTGTTGCTGATTAGCATTCTGATTGCTCAGACTGGCGAAATTTTGCGCGTTTGTGTGTCCACGACCTATCAGACTTAACGTTTGAGGCATGACTGGATGAATCTTGGTGGATGAGGTCTGATAGATTTGAGACTTAACGGAGAAACTTGGAGCCACGCTGGACACCGGTTTCTGATGAGTTTGAAGGTTTCTATGGTTTTGAGTTTGCGTGATGGACACTGTTGTACCGAGATTCGACGTCGACGAGCCTACGTTGTGCTGCTTTTGTTGTACGTTTCCGTGTTGCTGTTGTGTTTGCTGTTGTTGCTGATGGTGAATCCGGATATTCTGCGACAGTCCATCCGGGCTAAAGTTATGAGGCGAGCTGATCAGATTGTTGTTCGCATTGTTGTTATTATTATTATTGTTATTGTTGTTGTTGTTGTTGTTATTGTTATTGCAAGTCTGCTGCATGTTCACCGGTTGGTTTCCAATGTTTTGGTTGTGCTGCTGGTTTGTCCCTAGTAACTGAGACTGACCTGGAATCACGTATTAGTTAGCCGAACGTTCTCTGTGTTTAAACATAAAAAACACCGTATAGACATCGATAAAATACCTTGAATATGCGACTGAGACTGGCTATGAGCGATCTGATGACCAAACTGCTGGAAGGCTGCCCTTTGACCCAATTGTGAAGCGCTTGCTGAATGTTGAATCTTGTTCTTATTAACGTCATCCTCGGCGGTTTTGAAATTGACCGTAAATTTTGTGTTGTACGGCAACGTCTGATACTTTGGGTCATTCTTGTTCAGATTGAAATCGTTGTCGTTCGGTATATGAGAGTAGGGTTCGATGGCCGCTATGTTACCAGCAGGTCTGGACTTTCCTCCGGCGTTGAAGTCCAACTTGGAGTCTGCGAAGGCGGTGTTCGCGTTGGTACGATTCCCGGATCCTAATTGTTGGCTGAGCCGTTGGTTTAACGCTCTCTTGCGCTGTAGACGACCCTGAAGTTGAGCTATCCTCGCGTCGATCGACGCCATTTCCGCTTGTCGCTGCGCCAAGGCCAATCGTTGCTGGGACACCACTTGGTTCTGCTGCTCGTTCATCTTGTTACGATACTATTTAAAGGGATATAACCATTGATTTCAATTATAAAAGCAACTATTTTTCAAGGGAAGACAAGAATCGAGAAACTCGTAAGCAACAGTCTATTAAAAATAAAAACGATCTCTCCTCTAAGAGATAGAAGCTGCTATTAGAATGCACGCGAAATTCGCTGGATCTAGAGAGCTTTCGAATGTCTGCTGGAAAACGAGCAGTTAAAATTTACTGCAAATGAATGTAGGGCTTGCAACAATGATTACAAAGAGCCCGGGAGTTACTTGGCGAGTTTCGAGCAGAAGTCGAGGTTGCTTTGCTGGGCGTGAGGGCTGTGTGGGTGGTTGGGGTGCAAAAGGATCAGAGAAAGGAAAGGGTTAAAGGGCTCACCATAAGCTCTCTTCTAAGCTTTTCCAGCTCGGCGCTGGCGGGTGTCGACAAGTGTCCACTGCCGCCACCGCCAACGCCTCCTCCACCGACACCTCCGCCACCTCCGCCTCCGCTTCCGGTCCCGGCAGCGTTCTGTCGGCCTCGTAGCTCCTCCAGTTGTCGCGTCAGCTCTTCCACCTTCGCCACAGCCAGAGAAAGCTCCTTTTCCTTTTCATTGAACAACGCCCTAATGCAATCCAGGTCCGAGGCTGAAAAATATACGAAGAAAGTTGAGAATTACGTGAAATCTTTTGAGTGGAAATAGAAATACTGCAAATACACGGAGCTTTGTAAAATGTTTTCTCGGTTGGCCTCGTTCAGCGTTTGAAAGGTGAACCGGAAATTGATTCGATATTCTCAGCAAGACACTTGGCGAGACGTTAAACGATTAGTTGAGATAGCCTAGCAAGGATGAAACTTTCTTTTAATTATTTTCCTCGGCCTTTGACGACGCTCCGATCCTCAATTTGGTCGCGACCTTTCCTCGCAGTTTTAATCTCGACCCCAAGTCTCATCCTTCGACAAGGTTTTACCTTCCTTCTTTTCTCCTTTCGGGCTTCAGCCAAAGAAAGAAGGAAAAGAGACGCTGATTGTTTGTAATAAAAAACAATTCGAAGTAACAAATGTTTTCGTTTCATCGGTCAAAAGAAATCCGGCCGTTTCTTAAGAAAGAATTCTCATTTCAAGTCAGGTGAAAATAACGAAACGTCGTGCTTCTTCCGCGCCATAAAGACGAGGATCGATGATTTTTGTCCTCGTTTCCCTCGTTAACAGTCTTCATCTTCGTATTTCACGAGATGTAAAATAATTCAGTAAGTAATTACCTAGCCACGGTACGCCGAGCCGTAACGTAAATCATTCCTTTAATTGGCTCTTTTTCCAATTTTCCAAGATTATCCCGCGCGCGATCCAGTTAAGCTGGCTTTCTCGTCGCGAGATTCTCCAACTTGCGCACTGAATTATCGTGTCAATGGATAAAGTTTTTCCGACAGGCTGAGCATTACCGAGAACTTTTAATTATCGAGTTTCAACGAGACTGGCCTGCCTTCGAAAAGTTCCTTCAGTGTTCATAAAAAAAAGGGTTGTAGATACCAAAAATTTGTTTGCCGAGTCGGTGACGACTAGTTCCTTGAGTGAATCAATCGCATGGACTACGGTACATCATTAATAGGGATGTAAAAATCCATTTTCCACGGAATCAATTTAAAACAAAGGTCCTTTCAGCTGACCGATCGGCTAAAGGATATAATTTTTCAAGCTCGAACAGGCCCGAAACGCGTTTTCCAGCTGGATTGACTGGAAAGCGTTACGAAGAAAGCACTCGACCGCGGCGAACTGTTTGGTTTCGATAGGAACGAGGGAGAAGAGTGTCGATAGGACGGAAAGGATATCGTTCAGGGAAAGAGAACGAAGGGAAACAATTCTTTGGCTCGTTTCGCGAACGCAGAGACCAATAAATTCATAAGAAGGGAAACGTTTCGCGCGAAACGCGACGTTTAACGACGCAAGGAACGTGAGCCGACTGCTTCTACCTTCGTTTATTTGTCTCTGGTGTCTCATTTCCCTACAACAAACTGACGCTTATTGCAGTCTCGGGAAATATTTCGCTCCACGTCCTTAAATACAAGAATTTCAAGAGATTTTTTTTTCTGTGCCTCGTAAAAGGACCAACGACATACTGTATATTAGTTTTTATCTCAAAGTGGCTAAAGGTTTCCTCTCTGATGTGGTCCTTGGTAGCGAAAATGGTAAAATTCAAGGTAGACTCGAAATTTTCTAAAATGAACATGATTTCCCGTGTGTCGTGTAATATAGGAACTAGCTTGACTGGAGCACGTAGCTACCATTCGTTCTCTTGAATTTCAAAGAAAGTAGGGAACTTTTACCGTGGTATATTTGCCTTTGTATAAAGATCACGAGGCAATAAACGAAATGCTGAAGAAGACACCGCTATGAAAAAAGAAAAAAAGAAAAAAGAAAGGGAATTGAAATGAAAAGTCTAATAAGGCGTAGATGCAGCCGATCGTCCCTCGAAAAGGGGAGCGCTCGACAAAAGCTCTTCGCATTCTTCTCCGTTTTTCCATCATCATCCATCGTCATCCATTTTCCAGCTTCTCTTATTTTCGCTCCTATTTTTCAGCCTTCCCTCGTGGGAAATGACGTTAAGGCAACGAAAAAGGCCTATGAACGTGCCTGGTGCTTTCGTAAATCCGACCTGACAGCGACTCTGCTGGAAATTAAATGAGACACTGTCGGCAGTCAACTGAAATTGGGTAAAATCTTGAAAAAAACTTTTCTTTTCACTGATTATGCGTAACTCCAGGTGCTCGGAGGCTGGTACAATGGTAACAGAACAATCTGACAGCGGTGAAAGGATTAAGATCAGCTATCAAAAGCATCGGGTCTGTGTGTCAGGAATCCATTTGCTTGGAACAGACACGGAAAACAATGTATCCCTCGACACGGATACCGTATCGTATCCCGGAGTCGGGCGGGGGCGTGCGAGTTTACGAGACTCGAATCGACTATAGATACATCCAGAATTCGATAATGGAATTCTAGGTCATCGGACAATCACGCGACACGATGCTGTATCATCCTCCCTCTCTATCTCTCTCTTTCTATCATAGAAATTATGAAGTCAGTCGGTCTGCGCGATCCGAGTACGTACTTCATTCCAGCCCGACTTTAATATCCTTGATAATTGAATGGTTTTCGACCGAGCTTTTGTGACTTTCATTTTATTTCCAAGTAAATTGACCGGCAGTCTCGAAGGACAGAGGCAAACCAATTCGAACTTCGTATTTGATGTATTGTTATTTGATAGTATTTGACAGTTTCTTCATTTCTTTAATTTTTATCGATGTACTCTGTACTCTACAATCGGTGCTAGCCCATTCTTTTTTCTAAAACCGAAATAAAAATCGAAGAGAAAGTTGCAAGTTCTCTGTATTCTTCGCGGAACACCGCGAAACTTGAAGCAAGAAGCTTCGCGATCGTGCTTTCCCTCGTGAATATCAAATCTCGAAGCGAAACTCGCGAGTCTTCTTATTTGTCGGAAATTTCTTCGACGATACGTGAAGTTTCCTTGTATTTTCATCATTGGCCGACGGCAAAACTTCAGACCGTTCGAAAACTGTGAAGTCGTTGGTGTTGTTGACACTGAAAGCATCCCCCCTCCATGGAAATTGCTGCTTCAGTTTCATCGAACCCTCTGGCGATGAAACTTTACATCGCTATTCAGAGTACAGATAATGAAAATTCTTTCGATTCAATTTCGACTAATGATCTTTTCTAATGAAGTTTTAAACACGTTAATTGGGACGGTAGAAAGAGCTATGTCTAGGACCGTGCACGGTAACGCATATTATGAAGGATAATTTCTACTCGTTAGTGTAAATTTCATACTATTTTGGGATGATTTTCTTCTTTCGTTTCACTGAATTTCCAAATTAAATCTATTTATCTTGATAAGCGTGAAATTCTTTTTAAGCTCCTTTCTTCCTCGCCGTCACTTCCTGTCATCATTTCCCGAGGAAATGAAATTTCCCGATCGGCGAAGCCTATGGAGCATTACACGAGCTTCAAGGTGGAAATTCGAAAAGAAAAAGTAGCAGATTATTGGGCAGAAATTCTATGAAATATCATCTACAATTCATCTATATTCAACATGCTTGTACTGTATCCTGACCTATATCCCCTACGCATCGTACAACGATTGTTTTCGATATATCATCGAATATTTCTATCTCCATTTTTCTATTTCCATTAAAATAATTTCTACAACAGAAGAATTTTGATATATATGAAATAATGGATTATTGGAATATTGGAACATTCGGTTAACAAAAAAGGTTGATTTTATTCCCTGTCAATGATTTTTATCTGGAATAATAGCTTGACTTTTGAAAAGCGAATTTTGATCTCTCTGCAATAGGATTCGAGTGGTTACAAAACAAAAAATTCCTTGAAAATTCAGTTCTCTTCCAACTAAACTTTTAAGACACACAGAGTACGAAAGTTCCACTTTCTTCCATGAAGAAGACAACAACCAGTGTCGATGACTGTGGGTCATATATAGTTTCTCTCTTTCTCTCTTTTTTTTTTATTCGTTCGATCATATTTTATTCCCGGTTCGACTTGAAACTAGATTTCACGATCGAAAAGGGGTCACGGTTGCGTTAACCCAGTTCGTGAAATTTTCGTATGGTACGCAGAAACTGGAGGAAAACGCGGTTATCAGGAAGAGGAGGTTTTCAGTGAAGATGCTAGAATATTATTCGTGCACACATCGTCAGCAAAAGCTCCGAGATTGATAGAGAGGAAATTTGCGTTCGACAGGCTGAATAATTGTGAAGCAGACGCTTAATATAATCTATGTAATCCGTTAATTGGCGCCGAACGAGCAATCAATGATTCCAGATATTTTTCTTCTTCCTTTCCTCAGCCCGGTTCGGACTAAAAATATAGGATTCCCTCGTTGGACTGGTGCAATTAAGAGAAGAAGCGTTTGCTTTGTTAATTAAGAGAATGCTGGACAGAAAAGGATCTTTTTCATTTTTTTGTTACTCGAACTGAAGAACAAACGGAACGATTCTATGAATTGATTCATTTTTCATTTCACCTGCGTTTCTCGATTATTTTGGCAAATGAAAAATGAAAGAGATTTTTATGAATAGGATAAAAGGGTTAAAGATCCTCTGATCGTCATTATTGATTTACCGTACACTAAATTAGATCAAGGCCTGTGTATCCTCTTTACCGTATCCACTTCTTGCTTAATAATTTAAAAGATCTCCATGCCAATGTTTCAAGGTTTCCCCGTCACGAGAATCTTGCCTTATTAACGAACCGGTGGATCATTAAGCGATTAAAATAGAAATCTAAATCCCTAGAAATATTCCATCAATTCAATAGTCGATTTCTGAGAAACATTTTTCCATCTACTCTGCAGAGATAATGATGAAATAAAAATGAATGTTTAATCCTCTGAAAGGGTAGCCAAAGCCTTCGAACTGAATCCAGAAGAGGAGTTAAATCCAAAGAGATTCTTCTAGAAATCAGGATTGTATTAAAATTTAAACGTGGAAAGGATAGATCGCGATTAATCCTCGAATGATGAAACCGGGTCAATCGTAACCCAGACCTACGATAATTACATCGTGTTTAAATTTTTCAAAAATTTTTCTAAAGCGAATCTGAATCGTTGCTATCTCAATCGTCGGGTTGTTAAAGGGTTAAAAGGTTGTTTGCCAGCAATCAAGTATCGAATTCGACGAATGACCTATCAATTAACGCGCTGCATCGAGCGGTATCCAGCGGGCAAAGCGATTAACGTCCCTTTTCATTCGCATGCGGAAAGCGGATTACCGTCAGAGGTATTGTTATTACCAGAGACTGAAATTTTGTAATGGTAATCCTTTACGATCACTTTGACAAAATACACGCGTTGTTTATAGGAAAATGCTGCTCTGTCAAGTTTCCAGTCAAAGGAAGTGCTGAAAACTTTTCCTGAAGTTGGAAAGTTTCTTTGGCCAGTAGAAATTCGAGGAAAAGAAATTAATTAAGATCGCTATCCCATCAGAAGGAGATCGTGTCTCCTCGAAATTTTCGCGTAAAAAATATAAAAGCGGAGGAAAGTTCGGAAAACGTTTTATGGTTGGAGGGGGGAAAAAAAAAAATAAAATCCTCGTTTACTCGAAAAGGAAATTCAACCGAGCTACCTACACTTAATTCCACGACGAAATGTACATGGAGCTCGTCTGGAAAAGCTCCCTTTAATTAAACCGTGCTCCGTCAGAAGCCATACGTTCGCCCGTTTAATTCGCTCATCTTTTTGTATTTTCTTTTTTCGAAATAAACCGTACGGTGTGTGGAACGAGCAGAATTGCAAGAATTACGTTTACGTCTACTGTTTTTTTTTCTTAACAAGAAGTATGTTTAACGAAGTTGAGGATAAAATATTCCAGGAAACAGAAGATTCTCTTTTTCGATGGAAACTTTGTCACTCGCGTTTGAACAAGTTTCCCTTTTTCCGCGAGAAATAGATCGAGCGAATTTTCAGGAAAGTAACGCGATCAGAAAGTACCGACTTTCGCTCGATTGCGCTTTTCACCGGCCTAATCTTAAACTTACGACCGCGAAACTCTTGGGAAACTTACTGGAAGTAGAATCGGCACTGCTGGAAAACTCGTGGCAGACACAATGGATTAGATAACGAAGAGGACGATGATCGTCGAATTGGAGAACAGACGCGACAGACGCGACGAATTAGCTCCGTTTTATCGCAACGAATGGATAACGAGCACTAAGTAAGCACACGTCGACTACTAGAAAGTCAAATTTCCTTTCAACCAGAAGTTGAAATTCTAGCAGAGAGAATGGATTGAAACGAGATGAAACTTGGAGAACAGCAGACGTTTCGTGTTCCGACTGCTTCACTTTCGAGCAAGTAATACCGTGTTAAATTGTGACAATTCCAATATTTAATTGGCCTAAGTGTACCTATTTTTAGACGCCACGGAGTGTCGTGATCTTGAATAAAAACTGATAAAAACATCAGTTTCCATAACACGATAGGAAACATAAAACAAACGAAAGAGGCGCGCAATCTTATCCGAGTTATTTCCACGCGGATCCTGGAGGCTCGATTTCAAAGGATCGACACAAAAGGATCCGTGGATCGTGACCATAAACGTACACGGTATGTATCATCGGAAACGAAGAGCAGCCTCAAGAAAACGCATCGTCCTCGATGGGATCCATTTTGTCCGCAAATCTTTATTGAATTCGATCACCCGACAAGCGTGGTGGTCGTTCGATATCCTTTTACGAGACGCTCGATCCTTCTGCAGATTACGGGAATTCGCTTTCCTGGCTCTCTGTACTTGGTCCAGAGGAAGAAGAAGAGAGAAAAAAAAAAGAAAAGAAAAGAGGAATCAAGTCTTCTGGTTCTACAGTTATCGAAGAGGCTTTTCGTTCGCTGGTCCATGTTCGCCAGGCGGATATCGGTATTTCGGAATAAAATCATACGAATTGAGAATTTCATCTTTTCGTATGAAATTTGTCGTGAAACTTGGTAGGCAGAGCTCTTCTTCATGTTCGTACGTGCTATTTCCTTGTCTGCCGTTCGTTCCAGTCACGCCAGCCTCAAACTTTCACTTTCGAACGCAATAATGCCGACACAACAGGCTGGACCAGAATGCTCCCAGTGAATTGGATTAACCAAGTTTATCGTCGTTCGTTTCAGAGGGTTACACGAGCAACCCTGCTGGAACGGGACACGCTGTCCGACCAATGGGTTCTGGAATTGTTGGAATTTGCCCGGCTTCCCTCGTTCCGGAGAGTTTTCGAAACAAGCCACCTTGCTTCCTCTTTCTTCTCCTACACTCTACTGATTTCGATGACTTTGATATTATACCCAGCCAACGTCTATATTTTAAATAATTTCAGGTATACGTTACGGCGAATGTATACGTTAGTTAACGAATGCGCATACTAATTTGCTAAGTAAATGTATTCGCCAGCAATGAAATTTAAACTTTAACGAACAGAAGTAAACATTGACGTTGTAGCTAACGTATACATTGTCCGGCGAACGAATATGAAAATGATCGAATAGATATAACGAGGCAGACGTAAATGTTGAAAAAGGGGGTAGATATTACGGATAGATATTAGCTATCGGTTCGAGAAATCTTTCATAGGGACTTACTCAAAGTGGCGTTGTTGGCACGCGACTGATCGGTCTGCGATCTGAGCAATCGCAACCGATTCAGTTTGCTTTGTTGTTGGTCCAGCCTGTGCCTCAATCTGGCGAGTTGTTCCTGCTGTGCTGGCTCCTGAAACAGTAAACAGTGGTCACTGAATACAACCGTCTGAACGCATCGAAACATCCCCCCGGGTAAAGTGAATACGGTATAACAAGCAAAACAGAGAAACAGCACACGCATGGAATATTTCAAGTGGAGTCAAATAAAAGCACCCTCTTTGCGCCGTCCCTCTATGAGGCCGGGTACACGTGTAACCTAACGCTGTGTTCGCCCGATAAATCGCAGCAATTTTATCCAAGTAGGTAAATACCGACAACGAAACAAATTCAGACCTGAAACTACGTCCCTGTGTTTTCAGCTACCATGAAAATGTACGACAAAATAACAACGGCAAGAGAAAGAAGAAGATGTCTCCTAATCCTCTGGTATCAACCGGAAAAATTACCAGTACCCTTTCACCGTGAAAAATAAAGATTTCCTTTTCTTCATGGTGCAGCACATTGTCGACGGTTAAAAAGTCCCCGGAGCTTAGAGACGAAATCTTCATCCGGTCGACGAGTTGGAAACGAATGGAAGATTCGTTTCGTAGGAGCAACGAGCGAATAAAACTTTCCATCTTCGGTATCGTACTTGCAGCCGTACTCTACTGCCACTGGATTAAGGCTTTCAAGTTCTAGGAAATCCAGCTTCCCTCCCTGCCTCCAGGCTTCTTCCGTGTTCCTTTGAATAGCTGCTTGCCAATGAAAAGCCCGCTTTCTCTGTGTATAACACGCGTGGCGTTTCGACGAGTACTCGCGCCTATCCTACATTCAATGTATCTCGAAATGACCGATGAACTAGATACTTTTTATAACAGGTAACCTTGGTTCATTGGCGTTAATTAGGTCGCTCTCTCTTTTGATTCACTTCTACTGCAGCTTTTTACGAGTTAGCTGAACGCGCAACGCGCCAACTGCATTCTCCTCGAAGATGATGGGATCAGAGTGGAGAAACGACTTCCTGTCTCGTATGCTTACCGCTTAAGAGGCAACCAGCTTCCTTCTTCAACGATATTAACGAGATTAAGTGCGACTACGAGCAAGTCTTCCTATCGACTAGCCAACGTGTCGCTCTAATCTCGTTGATCGCTTCAGGCGAGTTTGATGCCTCGTTGGATCGTCAACGAACGCTGTCACCGATTACTCGAGTTTCTATAGCGGACGTTGATGATTATCATTTTCTGAAATTCGAATTTTCAAAAGTTTCATTTTCATCTTTGCAAGGAGTGGGATCGTATTCCCTAGGGAATCCTACCTGATGTATCTGATGATTTTTCACACTGATAAAAGTCTTATTTACATAGCAATTTCAGCCAAGTACATCGGATAAACACGTGGAATGAAAAAAAAAAAAATAAAAAACGAAAGGAATTCCTGGCAATAATTTCGGTAATAAAGCGTTTCGCACGATCCTGAAGCTTCCGTCGAGGATAATAGCCCGGGTGGTTGGTCAGTGATCGAGGGTTCGTTGCACCTCAGATCTCTATCGTTCGAGCAAATCGGGATCGTTCGGGAAAAATAACTAGCAATTACGTGTTCGGTCGCGGTTATTAGTCTTGTCGAAGTCGAGCGTTCGCCACAAAAGAGACTGGCGTGCACGAGAGGTCTGAAAAGGCTGACTGTACGAGCGTAAAGAATCTCGAAAAGCCGACAGGTGTTCGCCATTCGAATTGCACGTTACGTCGTTGATAAATTCGCCGCTCGTGTTCGCGGTTCCGTGTGACGCGTGAAAATCGAAGTCCTCGAGAAAAAGAAAGACAAATTGGTACCACCAACCGTTAGGCTGACCTTGCTGGTTATAACCTTGACCTTGAACGAAGAAAATCTTCACCTCAGTACGGGGATTATTAATTAATTAATTCCACGACTGTTGAAACATCTGCATTCGACGCGTTATGCTGTTATTTCAACATTAACGGAATTAAAAATTGTATAAAATTGCTGTAAAATAGAACGGCGAGGGAGAAATGAACGCGTTAAAATAACGTTAGAAGGATAATTGGTGGAGGGTGTGGAAATATCTTGGCTAATTACAGAACGGAAACCGGGCTCATCGTCGAGCGGAAGCGGAACGCATCGAGAGAGTCGAGCGAGAGGGCAGATCGAGTAATATCTACTAGAGCTTTGTCGAGCAATTTCCAGAACGATTTCCGCGTTTAAGGGTAGCAGAATGAGGTTGTGTCTCACCTGTGCGCCTCGAAGCACGGCCAGACGGGCCTCTCTCTGCTCCAGCAGCCTCCTTTGCTGGGCTATTTCCCGCTGCTGCCTGGCCGCCATGCTTTCAAGCTCGCTGAGCACCAGCACAGCACCACCCCCGCCCACTGGTAACTGAAACAAAATTAACAATACATCAGCACAATTATCTTTCCAATATCTATGCTGAACAGTCGCGTTTCAATACTTTCAACAAGGTCTAAACCTGCAAGAGGGAATCTGTCCTCCACACATTAATCGCTATTGCAAACCTAGAAAGTAACTTTACCAATTCCTGGAACTCCTAGCAGAAGATGGCAATAAATAAGCCAGAAATACTCACTCTCGAGGAAATTATTTATAGTCTGAAAAATAACGAAGAAGAAGAAGAAGAAGAAGAAGTCATGGTGTAAGGTAAACCCATTGCAAGGAGGCAACAGTGTTCTAAATGTCAGCCTGCCATTTCGCAACGATGAAGAAGAAGAGACGCTATTGCGGAGAAAGAGAAGAGGATTACGCGATTTCGCGAGCAGCGCGGGCAGAAAGAAATGAAAAAACGGAACGGAAGGGTAGGTGAAAAAGGAAGGGGAGAGGTGTAATGCGGCAGAAAAGAAAAAGCGAGACGAAGAGTGGTAGGTCCGGACCAGTGGACCAGTGGAGTTCTTTTTGCTTGACCTCGTGCACCATCTGGAGAGGACCGGCCGCCGATACCAAGTAGAATCCCAAGGACGACCTGGCCCTTCGAATTCCTCAGCGACAAGGACTCTTGGTAACCTTCGTACGTCAACCAAACGATCCTCAAACACGACGGATGCACATCGTGTATCTACTCTCCAACAGAGTACCTTTTACTTTTTATCAATTTGTTGACCCTCTTCTTCGGCATCTTTTATAGCGACGACGTAGCGATCTTATATACTAATTTTATACTAATTACGTAGGATACACGATGTTACGTAGACTTTCAGAAACGAACAGAGTTAATCCATCGTCGTTTCAGCAGAGGAAAATTGATGAAAGTGCAGCAGGTAATGTGCAATTAAAATGCAAAAACTAGGAGAACAATCGAATAACCTAAATCTAAATAAGAGAACTTTCGTACTTATCTAACGCTGGGTTACCTTTATTAACTCAACCTTCCCGCTTTCTACCAGTAGATTTATCGGTTAAAAGCTTTCGAAATTGTTGTTTCATCTAGCCCGTTTCCCTTTCTAGATCCTATCTAGATCCTAAACGAATAATTTCGCTTCCATTCCTCGAACGGGAAATATATTGAATAGGAGAGCAGCGTTACCGTATTCCGGCTAACAAACCAACGATCCTTTATAGTCTATAGCTTCTCAACTTGTTCGCGGCCGAACATGAAAATTCTATTTTATATACCGTTTCTTAAACCGAGGATTCGCGCGTCGAATCCTTTCAAGCTCGTTGCGCTTCACGGCGCATAATTTTCCGTTCTTTTCTTCCCTCGAACCGGTGCGGTGTCTCGGTTAAAAAAGAAGCGTATTTTTATACAGCACACCGCGCGCGCACCGGCTCTCGTTAATTTTTTTTTCTTCAACAGTTGATTATCATTCGTAGGACCGTTGTTTCGAACACTTGGCGAGATTACGACTACCCGGTAACTGGTTAAGAGTGTTCAAGTCCGATCTAAAGAAGGATATTTGTTGCGAGTCGTAGGGAAAATTGCTTCCAAGCAATTTCTTCGAATCTAGATTAGAACCAGGACGATAACAATATTTTAGACTTATGCGTTAAAATCGTGAATATTTAGACGTCTACTAGGATCAGGATTACACACGCGTCCTAGAACGTCTCTATTTCTATCATCTGAAATTCTATGCCTTAATCCTTCGAGCACGTATCCCGGCACTTCGTACCACGTCGGAGGATAATTTCAAACTTTTGTACAACACAAGATCAACTAGAAAGCGATATACCAGGATGACGTCGTCTTCTACGTCTCGCTGTCTGATCTGAAGCAGAGCAATATCGTAGCTCAAAGTGACGGATATTAAGACATACCTAGAACCCCGGCTATACATACACGGTGTTTTAGGCTGCCTCTGATCCTAGTCGAACCGATATCATCCGCCAACACGAGGAATATCGACACGCGTCTACCGCTTGGATTATGTATGCGTTCTAGGGTAGCTTTGTAATCGAAATCAGAGCAATATAATGCCTCTTCCAATAGGAATTGCATACGTAAGCTAATAACACGCGATAGGAAATAGAGATATTATAGAAAGAAGATGGTTGTTCAGTTTTTGCACACGTTTATTTATTCGTTTGACGGGGTTAGATATAAGAAAAATAACATATGGGAATTATCTAGACGCGTTACACAACATACTGTAGAGAAATAGGTAACGTTTGATAAATCAAATTCGTTATACGTGGGGTTATTAAAATTATCCAATACGAAGGGCGGTCTGATCGAAAAACGGGTCTCCCGAGGAAAGGAACATAAAAATAAGCATTCCTGCACCGAGAAAACTTTATTTCCAGCGATAAATGAGACAGAGTTTTGGAACTGTTCCAGACACGATAATTTCCCTCTGGTAATTAAGGAAATTCGTCGACGATGGTGAATGGAGAGGAGGGGGAGAACATTTTGCCAAGGATACGCATAAATACAGGTGAAATTTCATCGAAATAATCCCTGAGGGCCAATCTCGTACTTGCTATTACACGTTACTAAGTTTAGTAACTATTATTTACTCGATGAACTACTAGTTCCGCTAAACTATGACACGTCCTCCTCCCCCTTGCTTACTCGTCGCACCCCCGTTTTATCGTGAATAAGTAATGAACGTTTAGAGCCACGTCTTTCGAGGCTGTCTCAGATAAATAGATTTATACGTTGGCTTGCCACCCTGGCCTTCAAGAAATGATAACGAGCTTCAGGGAAAGGGGACAAGAGTGATAAGGGTGATTCTAGATACTGGACTAGGCCATTTTCCGACATAGAATTTCATGGTGAATAACGTTTCTAAGATTAAGGGTGAGATAGGTATAAATTTCCTTTGAAATTTGCAAACCGTTCTACCGAAAGAAAAATATACAATTTTCCATGTGAAACCTATCACGTCGCAAACATAATAATAACCGATGCATCGTAAGAATGAAAATATCGGTGATACCAGAAGATTGAAGTAGCAGTAAAGCTGACATAGCAAACTTTTAAACTGAAAAATACCTTATAAAATTCTCTCATAGAATTTATCGTTTCCTCGATATAATCTGACTAAGCAGTAGTAGTAGAAACATTTCAAAACTCGAGGAAATAATACAAGAAATAACCACATTGTAATGGTAAATACCTACTGGAGAACTGAAGTATCAATAAAGTAAGATTCTACCTGACATAACAGACTATTAAATGAAAAATTTCTAATAAAATTTGTTCACCAGAAAAACTTAACATAATCAGACGAACAGAGAAAGAGAGAAAGAGAGAGAGAGAGAGAGGTAGGAGAGGAGACGTTCTCGTCATCTCATCGAAGGAAGATTTGAAGGGGTTTGGAACATAAAGAACCTTACCTCGTTCTCGAGCTTCGAGGTCTCGTTGCATTCTACCTCCTTGTTGTCAGCCAGTCTCTCCTTCACAGAAAGAAGTTTCGCCTTTCTTTTGGATCGTCCGTGGCGGAGCTTCACCGTCACGGCTTTCAACTTGAAGTTTTCCGCCGGATAGACGCACGCCAGCATCGTGCTTGTACACGGTTTCGCGATTATTTTCGTTTGATTTTCCACGATTCGCTTAATAAAGCCACGAGAATATCTCACTATTCTCAACGTTCGCGATATTTCGCTACTACAACGACGACGAAGAGGAGGTCTGCGATTCTTCTTTGGCGTGGAATCGCTCGTCTCAGTCCCATCGGCATGGAACTCGTTAATCTTTGCGATTAATTAAGGAACGCGTGGGAGGACGCGATGTGCTTTCGAACGCAACGTTAATTGCTGCTTCGTGCTTCACAGTTTCCTCTGTTTCCTCTTGGTTAACTGCGAGACTTGAATTCAGTTTCGCTTCGTGTGCCGTCTAACGTCTCTAACAGATATCGAAGAAACACCGTGCGTTAAAAGACACCATGATTATAATTCGCAGTTTCTCGATGCTTTGCTCTGGGCAAGAATCTGGCTAATCGAATTATATCGTGTACCAAAATCATTTTGACTATTCATTTCCTTAAGCTAACGTCTGATATCGAAGTCTGATTTCAAGTAACTCTGGGAAACGGGTTAAATGGAAAAAGTCTCGAGACATCTTTGCAAAGCAAATCAACTCTCGGTTGGCTCTAGTTTCGGTTCAAGAAAGCTCGAGATATCCTTACGAAGCAAGTAATTCGAGTGAGCTTTGTATTGGATGGGACCAGGATTCTGGATACTCTCACAAATTGAACAAACTAATCAATTTTAAAACCAAACAATCCTTACTTAACATACTTTCCATCGATTAAACGTACCTTTAGTCGTTTACGTATTCATGAAAATTGCAAAACGATAGCAAGTTGGATCTATTTCCTAGGCAAGGTGAATCCAATTTCCAGGAGTAAAAGACGATCGAGGTTGCGAAGAGCGAAACTCTATCCAGTGATAATACAACTTCTGTTAATTATCAGCATGCTTGTAGAGCGATGCAAAGGGAAAACGTGCAATGGGCACCCGATTCAACGCTTTGACGATTGTCCCTCAGCTCGCTGACTCTCTATGCAGAGTAATCGAGGCTGCATTCGATTCCAAAACCGTCCGTATAGTAGAAAGAGAGAATACACCAAGCACCTGAATTGAATTTCGATTACAGAACCAACCTGAATCAATGATATAATCGATTCTGAAATCTCTGTTACCTACCTACGTACACTGGATGCTTTCTACCCCAATTTGTAAATCCTTTGCGCAGATTACGTTCCATATGAACTGTAGCCTACTTTTTCATCCAATTTACGACACATGCATAATATACTAATCTCCAGAGTGAATAAGAAACGAAACCATTAGCTAATACTCATCAAGGCGAGACCTAAGCTCATTTTTCAACGATGATCGTCATTAAACAAGTAAATGGAGCAGTGGCGAATAATCGTGGAGGAGGGTGTTTAGAAACGTAGATGAAAATGAGAGAAAAACTG